ATTAAAATATTATTAGTATATTTACTAGTCTAAATAATATAACTTAGTATTTATAAAGTTTAAATTATATTTTAAATACTATTTTTTACTTATTTTTCTTATAAATTTAAAGTTTATGGTATATGTTTTATAAATCTAGCTATGTAAAAATTTTTCCTGTTTTTAAATAATTAAAGGTTATATTAAGTAGTAGTAGTAGGTATGTATTTTTAATTATAATAATATTTAGGCCTTAATAATTTATGTAAAAATATAGGCTATTATTTTTTTTTAATATAAATAATACTAAAGCTCCCGCAGGGCTTTTAAATAGGTATATTTAATTTTTTTTAAGTGCTTTTTTAATATATTCACGTAAAACCTTAAGCTTTTTTAAAAATAATAAATAAATATACTTACTTAAAGGCTTAGKACTAGGTTATAACTTAATTATATAATTATAGGATTAGTAAAATATAAAAATATTTACTTTTACTTTAAAAAATATATTTACATATTTGTGATATTATTTAAGTAGCAGGATTTTTTTAACCTTTACCTTATTAAGATATATTATAACATGGTTTTTTTACTTAAAAATTTATATTAAAAGTACTTTAACTCCTACAGTAATTTTTATAATATATTTTTATGCTATTATTATATACTACAAGTATTTAAAATTATACTTTATTTTTTAACTATATATTTAATTACTAGTTTACTAATTTAAAATAGGTATCACGGCTAGCAACCACAAAAATCCTAAAATTATATTATAACTATTAATATTAATAGCTTTAAAATTTTATTAATAATACTATATATTACATGTAAAATCTTTAGCATAAACTATAAGTATATATTTTTTATAGAATATTACCATGTGGCTATTAATTATATATACTTTATAGGCTAATTTTTTACTTTACATTAGGTAGGACTTTACCTAGCGCTAGTTTATAAAATTTATTTTTATTTTAAAGTTTATAAGAACTCTTATATATTATTATTTTTTATTTTTTTTTTTTATTTTTACCTAAATTACCCAGGCCCATGGTGTATTTTTTTATTTTATATAAACTTTTAAAGCTTGCACCGCGTAAAGCTTTAAGGTTTTATATTTTTTATATTACTAAATTTACTTAAAAATTACTATTATAAAAATACTTTTTTTTCCTAACCTTTGCCCGGTAACTAATAATATTACTTAAAGTATTTAATATAGCTATAGTTTAAGCATTTACCTGGGTATAGCTTTTTTATAAATAAGAAATTATTTAAATTATTAGGTTATTTTATACTAGTATTTACTTTTATACTTTTTTTAATAATAAAAAGCGCCCTAACTTTAGTTATTAGTAGTTTTATATAAGTTTAGTTAAAAAACTTTTTTTTTTTTTTATAATTATTTTTTTTTACTTAGGCATGTTATTTTTAACACTTGTTAAGTATAATACATAGTTATTATAGCACTTTAGTTCTTAGTATTTATAAATAAAAAACTTTTTTTATATATTCTTTAGGATTTTTTAGTACAGGTATCCTTGGCGCTAATTATTATTATACTTATAAAATAGGTGTTTCTTAATTTAGTCTAGTAATTATATAAATTACTTAATAATTTATTATAGTTATTACTTTATATTACCTTACTTAATTAGCAAGTTATTAACTAGCACTGTTTTATTATTAATTATTTTAATTAATATATTAAAAAATTCTTTTTAGGTAAATATAATTTTTATTTTATAAATATTAAACTATTCCCGCCTGCAGTCCTCCGCTAAAAATTTAATAAATTAAAATATTTTATAGTTATTATTTAGGTAGTAAGTTAAAAAGGTTTTAAAGTGTGTTTTTATATTTAACTTTTAATTATTAAATTTTTTAATATTATTTACCTAGTATAGTTTTATAAATAGCAACTTTTTTAAAAAGTTCTTTTTAAATTATATTATTATTACTATAACCCCTCCGGTGGTTTCCTTTAAAATTATAAGGTTATTAAAGTTTATTTAGCAAGGAACTATTAATTACTTAATAAATTAAATAAGTATATTATATATTTATTATTTAGCCTTAGCTCTTGCAATTTATTAGCATACCTTTTTAATTTAAGTATAAATTTATTAATATTTTTTTTCTTTTTTTTTATAATATTTTTATTTTTATAATTTTTTTTTTTTTACTAAAATTACTTCTAGCGTTGCCTGTAATTTTTTAATAATTTTTTTACTATTTTTATTTTTTTGCCCCTGGGTAGGCGCTTTATATTTTAATATTCCTTATATAATTTAGGATTTAGTAGCAAGGGCGCCCTTAAAATTTTTTAATTAAAAGTTTATAAATTTCTTCTTGGGTATATTAATTAGTTATTAAGTTAAGGTTTATAATTACTTTTTTAAAGTATTATTTACTAGCCCCTGGGATTAAGTTTATTACCTAGCTATTATATAAAATAAGTTTTTTTTTAAAAAAAAAAGTAATTAAAACTATAAGTTATATTTATATACTATAGTAAGCTTAAAAAAACATAAATTACTATAATAAAAAAGGTATTATATATTTATAGTAGGAACTAATTGCTAATTTTTTTAAATTAAAGTTTAAAGTTAAACTTAGTATTTTATATATTATATAACTAGCTGCCGCCTTAGCATGCGGCTAGTTTAGCGCCAAAGTTCCTCCGCCCGGCGGCCTTAGGCCGCCGGATTGCGTCATTGCAACACTGCGCAGTTGCAACACCATAACAGTGATAACAGTTCTATAAAGACTAGCTATAAATTTAGCATTTAAATAAGCCACTACAAGCGTGACAGACTTTGGCATTTTTTTATCCAGAATAATTATTATAATCATAATCCTATACCTAAATTTATTTAAGTTTAATATTATCAGGCGGAGCTTAGGTAAAAAAAGGCCTTTATTAATTAATAAATTACCCAGCGGACCTGTATATTTAAGATTATTAAGTAAATTTATATAAAAAGCTTATTATTAGTTTTCCTACCCCGTGATATATATAACTATTAGTTTTAATAATTTTAAGCCTTGCTAAAAGGTAAATCTCCGCTCCAGGCGCTTGTAAATAACTTTAAAAATAACCTAAATTAAAAGTTAAAATATAATAAGAAAGAAAAATAGCTTATTTAGTTATTTTTTATATATAAGTCTTTTATAAAGTTACTTTGCTAATTCCCCTATATTATTTTTATAAATTACATTTATAAGACTAACCACTTTAGCCTTTTATTATTAAATATTATAAAAGTAACTTTAATAAATTAAACCTTTTATATTACCTTTGGCCTGCTTACTAATAAGTTAATTAACTTTTATAGCTTTATTTTAAATTATTTAAAGATTATTTATTAAGATCTTAAGGCCCCCGAGCCCCTAATAATAATAATAAATTATAATTTAGGCGTTTTAGGCTATATAAAGCCTATCTTTTAAAATACTAATATTATATTATATTAGTGGCATGTTTAAAAAGCTATTAAAACCTATATAAAAAGGTAATTTTATTTAAAAGTTAGCACTCCTGCTATAAGAAAAAATTATAATAAAAATAAAAATAATTTTCTGCAAATAAGGGTAAATAAAAAGTAAGAAAAAATAGCTTTAAGTCTTCTTAATATTATATACAAGCCTATTATTAAAAAGGTAAAAACTAAATAAAATAGCTTTAAAAAGAAGTAAAAGGTATACCAACACTTTTTAATTTATATAAAAAAAAAATAGCTTAATAGTATTTACTTTAAGCGCTTTTTTAAGTATTATACTAATAACTATAAGTATCTAGGTATAATAATAACTTTATAAAATAAAAGCACCTATATTTTTTTAAAGGCTTAAAATTTTTTACTTAGTAACGTTCTTATCCTTGTACAAAATATTAAAAGGGTTATTACTACTTATTATTAGCTTATTAACAGGGAATTTACAAAGAAGAAACACTATAAGTATTAAATTTATAATAAGCTATTATTTTAAGCTATTAATAACAAGATCTTTTTATTTATTTTATAAAAAATCCTTAAACACTATAATAAATACCTGCCAAAGGGCCTTAATAAAAAACTAATTTAAAAGTATACGGGAATAGCTTCACGGGTAAAAAGGTTACCTTATATCCATGTTATTTAAGCCTTTCTTAAAACTAGCTTTTAAATTATTTACTTTTATTAGTAGTGGTGGCTAAGGCTAGATCTTAATACTAAAATTAATATATTAATTATACTATAAAATTTAGTTATTTAAACTTAAAACTAGCAAGGCAGAGGCCGTGGCCGTGGCCGTGGCCATAAAAAATATTTATCTTTTTATAAAAAAGTTAAGGCTAATATTTAAAAATAAAGTTAGGTAAAGTAATAAAAATAAAGGCTAATAAGGCAAGCAGCGCGCTAGGAGGTTATATAACAGGCTATTATAAATAGCCTTATCCTAGCGCCTAATTAAAAAGTTATTATTATTAATAGTAATAGCAAGAATAAAAAACCAGAGCCACTAGAGCCAGTACAAGCAAAATAAAAAAAAATTTACAAAGGTTAAGATAATAGCCGTGGCCAGGGCCAGGGCCGCGGGGGAGGTATTATTTTAAAAAAAGTTTTAAAGTTAATGCTAGGTGTAATTAAATTCTAGGCCTTTTATTAGTTAGTATAAGTGCTAGTTTAATAATTAAAACTTACGCATGTTTGGCCTGTAGTTTAAACACTAAATTTTATATAAAAAGTTAGAATTTAAAGCGCTGCGCACCCGCGGAGTATTTTACCGCTAAGCTAAGCCTAATTAAAAAGCGGCGACAGGTTGATTATATTAGCATCCGCTCCCAAACGGGGTTCCGCTTCATAAAACCCTGTCAAATAGTCAAATTACCCTGTCGAAAAAGACTGACTCCGGGGAAATCTTTATTTTATCCACTTGCTCTCTTACCTAGGTGAGGCAGCGCCGGCAAATGAAGTAGCGACTAATTACATTTGCTTGCGAGACTATTTACAGTGCTTCAAAATATCTTCTTATGCTTGCTCCCAGACAAGCCCAATTTTAGCCCAACGAGCCGCAATTAAGTTCAGAGTCCCAGCAATGATCACACTGCCCATGAACATCTGTGCGTATAAATAATTGCCTTCTCCTCGTTGGACCAATGCTCCGGCAATAGGAGACCCGATTAGAGCCGCAACCCCAACGACCGACATGACCATGCCCATACGGGCGCCCATCTTCTTGAGGTCCGTTGTGAGTGTGCTTAATGTTGCTGGGAAGAGTGACTGAATTCCGGCCGCGGCCAAACCATAAAACCCAGCAAAGCCGTACACTCCGCTAAGATCATGCACGCCTGCCCAGCAAAAAGCAACAAGCCCTGTAGCGAAGCTAAATGGGATCAGCATGTTCAATGGGCCGGTGTATCGATCAGCCATGAGGTTCGGGCCGAGACGACCTAAAAGACCGATGCCGTTCATGAGCAAAAGGACGTTGATTGAGGTTGTCGTGGATGCGCCGATGACTTCTCGGGTGAAACTTCCAATATAAAAAAAGCCGATGTATAGCCCCCAAAAATTGAGGAACATACCAATGGCGAAAAATGAGTACGATGCTTCTCTGAAGGCGGCCCATTCCACAAGCGGTCCGCTTATACGCGGTGGTAGTCGTTGTTTTAGAAAAATAATGCAGGGCGTTAGGGTTGCTAACGAGATGAACCCTAGGGTGCGCATTGTCCATCCGTATCCAACCCGCGGTAGCAGGCGCATGACCACGGCGGGAAAGACAAGACCTCCCGTTGCAGATCCGGAGGCTACTATACCGATGGCGATGGACCGGTTCCTGCTGAAGTACGTGGGCGTCAAGGCAATTGTGGGACAAAACATTAGGCCACATCCGATGCCTTGCCCGATCCCCTGTGCAAGAAATAATTGCCAATATTTGGTGCAGAGAGATGTCATGAAGATGCAGAACAGCTCCAACACTGCCCCGATTGTCAAGGTGAGCTTGAAATAACCAGCATCCGTCGCGCGTCCAGAGAAAGTCCCGACGAAGAAAAGTAGGAAGATTTGAATGCTTCCGACCCATGAGATAGCGGACGGGGATTTCCCAAGATTCTCAGTGTAGTACGTCTGAAACACGCCAAATGAGTTTATATAGCCCCAGGTGTTGAAGATCACGAAATGAGCCAATGCTACTTGCGACCAGGCAAGAAACCCGCCATCCGGAGGCGGGTCAAGATCTCTCCCAGACTCTCTGGTACGGATGATTGAAAGGGTCCTGGCTGCGAATGCGCCAACGTGGCTGGCGTTCGTGGCAGTCTCCGTGAGCTCCTTTCTCTGACCATGTGCTTGTCCTGACTCCTCGTCGTCCGGAAAGTCTCTCAACGACCTGACATCGTCGCTATAGGTGTCTTCTACCGGTGTCGTGGTCTGAGATTTCTCGTTTTTAGTTGTCGATTGAACCGTTTGGCTAACACAAGGCTCTTCCACTGCCATTGCCCGGTAGATGTATGAACTGGTGTCTCAACAAAACGTTCTAAAACATGCGAATGAAGCGAATCCAGTGCAGAGTGTGGCATCGACTCAACAGCTTGAGAGACCTTATTGAGGAATGCACTAGAGTAATTTGTCTAGGAGCTTTGTGGCCACGAGGCAGATCACACTGCGGATGGCCGTGGGCAGCAATGCACTTTGAACAATAGACGAATGTTGGATGTACGGGTGACGGAGTACACCGACTGGAATCGGACAATTGCTGCAGAGAGTTTAGACTGTCAAGCTCCAGGGATAATGGGTTCAAATAGATACGAGTCGAGAGTGTGACTCAGAAGATTGTCCGATTCCCTAGTTTTTTGCCCTTCAGGTTTGCCATCGTTCGAGGCCCGGGTGTCAGGTGGAACTCGCCGGAGAAGCCTTCTTTTCTTGAATATTATTTGGGGACGCGGAGAGTGCGGGGACAGGGATTTGTGTAAAATTTAGTAGCAAAGGGCGCAAAGCCCGCGTGGAGCACAGGAGACTGGACATTTGGAGAGAATAGATAGAGCATGTTCGCACAGAAGACCGAGGCGAGCTCCAGAATGCTTCGCTACAACTCGGCTCATCGGCACCGCTAAGCTCCAGGTTCCGCAAATGAGATGCTCGCACTCGCAGCCTCGAGCTTGGTCCACTAATCTAGTATTACTATTCACCGAGTGCTCTGGAGTAATAATATTTGTCGCCGTGGAGCCTGGAGGACTTTCTCCGACACGGGCCTCGAGCCATGGAATTGGACATGGCGGGATCCATTTAATCCAGGGCTGTGAATGAGAATAATATCAATATCATCGAGACAAGGGATATAAGAAAAGCATAGAGCAAGAGCAAGTTCGAGCAAATGCAGGCCATAATATACGTCATCTAAGCTGTCTAAGAGAAACGGAGAGTTCTATAGCACCGTGTATATAATATAGTTTGAGATAAGCCGCCCTTTGTATCCGCCTCTATACTGTCATGGCCTAATATTCCTGCCCGGAGGAACAATTGTTGAGCATCGTGATCGTCTCGATAACGTCACTGGGCTCCAGGAGGTGCCAGCCCGCCTCTGTCTGCTTCGAGCTTGCACCAACAGTGACTGTGTAAACAATGTCTGCCGGCAAGTCAAACTTCTTCAAGGCACGGAACATGTCTGATTGCGTTAGCAACTACTGACGGCAAGCCAGGGTTGGCAAAGAGGGAACATACCTTCATCTGTGAAGTCATCGCCGGAACAAAAAATGCATTCGGGAACCTTCCCATCATCATATGCCTCCACCAACCGCTTCGCTATGAAACCTTTGTTAACGAATTTCGGCCGAACCTCGAGGTTAGCTTTGCCAGCCATGACTTCCACATCCCATGTTTTGGACACATGCTCTTCCAGCTGCTTTCGACATTCTCGCGCTTGGAATGCGCCATATTCAGGATCGGCGCGTCGGTAGTGCCAGGTTAGGGCCACCTTCTTCCTCTCAATAAAAGACCCCTGTGTGCGCTCGGTAAAGTGTTGGTAAATGTCCATGACTTCCTTCTGCCAGCCCATATCGGTAGACTCCGCTAGGTTTTGCCAATTATCTGATCTTGGCATTCGCATGAAACAACCATGCTCAGCGCTCAGTCCGAGTTCAGGGATGTGGCCCATCCATTCGTCCAAAAAGGCCTGGTCACGACCACTAATGATCCACACCGCGTTTCGAGGATCTGCAGCCAAAGTTTTGAGCGTTCGCAGAACACGGTCTGATGGAATAGCAGATTGGGGGTCCTTCACGATCGGCGTAAGAGTACCATCGTAGTCAAACATGAATAGCCTCTTCCGGGATTTGCGATATTGCTTCAGGAGCTTGGTCCTGTCAAGAGCCGGGGTCGCCATGGATTGATCAAAGGAAGAGAGATTGGTAAGCAAACGAGAGATGAACTGGTTGGACCAGGCTGAAACCGTATTTGTCGTAACGTGCTTGTACAGCTTCAAGTGCTGTTCCTTTTTCTCTGCGATAGGTACTGTCAGAGCTGTGTTGATTGCTTCCGAGACCCCGATAGTATCCCACGGGTTGATATGAATTGCACTGGACAATGCACCTGCTGTCCCAGAGAATTCGGAGAGGATAAGCGGACTGTGATTGCCCTGCTGGCAGATGATGTATTCCAAGCTCGTCGTATTCATGCCATCGCGGACTGTCGTGATCAGACCAACATCGGCCGCCCGTAACAACGCGAAGTACTCGTGCGGGGAGAGATACTGAGGGTAGTATTTGACGGGGGAGAAACTCAATGAGCCGAAACGACCATTAATCGTATCAACTAGGTTTGAGATGCGACTCGCAATCTTGTGCTCTTCTTTCTCTTCCTCAACACTTGTCGGGCTGGTGACCTGGATGAGCACGACCTTGTCTTGCCACTCAGGGAACCGCTCCAGGAAGGTCTCGAATGCTTGGAGCTTCTGAGCAACACCACGGGCACTGTCTAGTCGATCACGGCCAACAATGATTTTCTTGCCGGCGTATAACTTTCGCAGCCCTGCTACTGCCTGTTCAGTGTCCGGGCTCTCGAAGGCAATCTTTTGTATCGCTTCAGCATCGATACCAATAGGAAAGACATCCACTGCCACATGGGCACCGTATGCGTCCACACCAGCCGAGTTAGACTCGAACCCTAGCACACGAGTACAGCACGACGAAAAGTGGCGAGAATAGGAGAATGTTTGGAACCCGATCATGTTAGCACCAAGCACACCTGTGAGTATCTCCTTTCGTTTGGCTAGACACCGCATAAACTCGCTGCTAGGAAATGGCGAGTGAAGGTAGAAACCAATATAGATGTTCGGGATGTGCTGTCGCAAAATGCTTGGCAGTAGGAATAGGTGATAATCATGAATCCAAACGATATCTCCCTCCTTGTATTGTTGAATGATACGCTCGGCAAAGAGCTGGTTCATCCTCACGTAGTCCGCCCACGAATCGCGTTCGGACCTGCCATCCGTGGGCCCGTTCTGTTTATAATGCAGCAGAGCATAAAGCTCTCTCTCAGCATAACGCCTCCATCGGCTTTGGTCGTCCAGATTGATCGTGTCTTCGGGCACTTCAGATTCGTCTGATAGCCAAACTGGAACGACTTTACCGTGGCGACTTGAGCTCAATTGTTTTTCCAGCCGTTCTCGATCAGCAGGGCCCACTGCGGAGGTTTCTGCGGCGACATTATGTGATTGCAGCATGCTAGCGTCGGGCAACACAGGTGCTGACCCCTTGTTGAGAGATCGCGTAGCGTTATCAAGCGCCGCAGGCAACCTGAGGTCGGTATTGGTGTCAAGCGCCTGTAAAAGACTGCTTGCTTCCTCAAGCGGCTCTACTTCTCCTGTCCACCCAACCAGGGTATGATCCCAGCCTGACTTATTGGAAGCTAAATATGCGAATGAGTCAAATAGAGCAGAAGCTCCGGGGCGAGGTTTCAACTCCTGCAACCGTATGTTAGTGATAATGTGCTTCATTCCTTGGCAATAAGTAGATATCATACCCAGTCGTGACCCGACCTAAAGTAGAGTTTGTGTGGGATACAGAAAGCGGCGCTGATGATGCGACCAGTGAGGTTCAGACCTGGGTACTGCTTTTGAAGATCAGGCGCTCGCATAGTAAGAACCTCCTTCAGGTTCGGTTGATGCAGAACGTCACTCTCAGATTGGACATTTGAAGCGACTTCTTGCCGAAACGAAGTGGTATTTGAGGGAGAATCAGAGCTTGCAAAGGTATTATGAGCGGAAGCGTCCGTGAATGAATCGAAACGGACTTCTCCTGGCCTTCCGTCGGGCTTGAAAGGTCCCTGCTGTGCAGACATGGCGGGCAAGAAGTTGAAAGTTGGTGTTTAACGGATGAACACGCGTGGCGTAGAGAGACTGGAATAGCGATATATTATCCTTGGAAACCGCAGCAAGTATCAGCGTTCCGATGTTCACTGGGTAGTGTCTTCCGAGGAGACATACCGAGCAGGACTACGCCTTCGGATTGAGGAAGAATGATGTGGCGGAAAAGGTAGAAAGGCGGCAGGCTAGGCCAGCAGCGTGCAGGAAGAGGTCAATTGATAGTGCTTGATAAGGAAAGCCAGAGCCCAGGCGAGGTTGGTGCTTGGGGAACGAGGGGCACGATAGTTACGGTATCGGAGGGGCAACGGGGCGGTGAGGGAGACTTGGTTAAACGAAGCGATTATTTTGAGAGACTTGAAAGTTGAGAGAAGTCGACAGTCGTTCGCCCCGAGCAAGGATGATGTTATGCTTGCGATAGCCTGGAAGGGTAAAATCCACTTTCCTCGTGGGCTTCGGACAAAAGTAGGATTCGACCAAGAAGGCCCGAGGGTCAAGCGGGTGATCGACGTAGATAGGTAGAGTAGGTGAGGGAAGTCGACGCGGTCACGAAGTCATCACTACTGGAGAGCACAGCACCAGGACTCGAGGCTAGATGAGATTAAAATACATCATGTAGAGAGAACTTCCGCTTGCAATCAAGGCAGTCGTTAGTAATAGATGACGGCGTAATTCGTGATGCCGGGCGTGCTTCTGGTCCTGGGGAGGAAGCATCCAGAAACCTGGACCCGGCGTGGGGAAGGGCGACGTCATTCATCCTCAACTGCCCTGGACACGACTCTCGCGACCATGGACCATTTTGCATATGGTGAGCCCTTCCATCCGGTAGAGATGACCCTGGTTGAGCAGTGAGCTTTAAAGCCCCCGTCTCAGAATCAGAAAATGGCCAACCTGGCCTTTTTAGGGCTCGCAGAATCATGTGAAGAGAGCATCACATGCAGTAGTACAGAGAACTCACATGCAGCATCGGATTCACATGCCGCTGGAGCACTCGAAAGTATGCTTACTCCATATTCAGGCCATCAGGCGTCGAAACTGGCACGTGACACCACCGCTGTCATGTTGCCCACAAATTGTGCCATTCGAACGCCCAAGTCAACGATGTCGGCAATGCATATCTGGCTCTAAACCCCACGGGAAGCAACTCGCAGAGCCATGCGCTTTCGCCTAGGCAATCGTGCAATACTCTCCACTCCAATTGCCCACCGTCGAAGCTTCCATCATGTTCCTGCCCTGACGAATGGTCCGATTATTGAAAATAGTCTCGAAAAAACTCTCGAAGAGCACCGATTGTTAAACCGGCGAAGCTTGATTCGCAAGGTCTATGCGCGATCTGATCTGGAGAAGCTTGATCGTCTCACTGAACCCAGGAAGAAAGCCGCTAAAGCTGAGACGTCTGAGTCGTCCAATTCGAAATCCCAAACCCAACTATCAGAGAAGGATACGCAATCGCCTGCCTTTCAGGAAAAATCAGAGTCTCTTACGGAACACAACCCAGGGTCTCCGGCGCCGAAGTCCATTAAATTCCCGTTTATCACCTGGCAGGTTAAGAAAAACAAATCAGCGCGTTCCAAATACGGTCCTAGCCGAGATACCACACAGCGCCCATGGCTTGCAGAACTGGACCAGACTGCGACGTACTTGGACGGCATCTCGCACCTTGACGCAGAACTTCACGCTCTCGAAGCATACCTGACGCCAACTGTCCGGGAGAAGGAGGTGGCAAGTCAAGTCGTCTCCGATGTCATCAACCTTATTTCACGCTATGCAGGTTCCTCTAAGTCCATACGCGTCTCTCGCACGGGGTTCACAATGAGCCATTCAACGCTCGACCTTATAATTGCAGTGTCAGACAAAGAAAAGGCAACTGACGATGATGTCGATAAGCCAAATGAGAGTTACAGCGCGAAAAAACGCAGACAGCGTAAAATCCTTGACTTGGCTCAACGATCCCTTGGGCAGTCCTCTATCTACGGATTGCAGCTCGAAAAGAGGGAGAGAACTCTCAAGGTACTTCATAGGCCCTCTGGTCTCGTGCTCCAGATTACCTGCGCTGAAGATGAACACACGGCCCTCGAATATCTTCGAGACTTCCACGCTGAATACCCAACCCTCCGCTCTTTATACATAGCCATACGGTTGCTTCTCGAAAGCAAGGGACTTTTCGGCACGGAGAATACCATTAACTGCAACGAACTGCAACTACTTATTGCCGCGGTCCTCAAAATGAATCACGGCCGTCTTCGGCGCGACGCGCTTGTTGGCGAATCATTCCTCACGTTCCTATACACCTTTGGTGTACAGAGAGACCTCTCGGCAACCGGTATCGCAGTGGATCCTCCAGGCTTCTTCACTACCCAATCTGTGGAAGACGCATGCGCAATGTACAACCCTGATGATATTCCCGCTCTCCTCCGCGGCCAGCGCTCGCTCATTAAGACGAAGAGGAATGCCATGAAAAGGGGTAACAGACCCCTTGGCCTCAAACTCCTAATTCAGAATCCGGCAAACTTCATGACACAGGCACCTGGATCATGCTCACGAACTGTAGAGACACAAGGTGCGTTCCGGAAAACTTATTCGGTTTTGAAATCTGCCCTTGATGCTTGGGAAGCTAGACCAAACAATAGCATTCTCAGTGCTGCATTAAATGCGAATTTTGAAGGGTTTGAGACGCGCAGAGTTTCTATTCTCGCTACCCATCCCGATTCATGCAAGAAATCTATTTCGTAGCATTTCCGCTGTTGTTTCTGGGAATGTTCAATCAGCAGAAGTTGAGAATAAATGGATTGTACGCATGTCATTGAAACTCTTAACAGATAATAATCCCAATTTATTAACCTGAATCCACTTGCATCCGGACTCCTGAGCGAGACACCCTATAAGTTCGGATTTCAACTTCTTTTTGTTCAATTCTGGTATTTTGGTATCAATCGAGGTGATGAAGACTGGGGGGGGGGGAAGCTTCACCGAAAGGACTGAAGCATATGTATAATTAACAAGAGCAAATTGAAAACGCCCGCTTGCCATGATGGCTACAAATGCACTCACGATCATAGTCACGCCTGCATATGTGGGAACAGTTATACAAACAATACAAGAGACAAAGAGAAGAAACGACAAAGGATTGCGGTGGCGGAGAGGAATTTATCAATAATTTGGTGCAAGTCAAATCGCTGCCAAGACAGGAGACATAGAATCGCAGCGTTTAGGCGTCGAGCACAGATCAACGATAGCAATTTATGCAGGCAAGGAATGAGAGTTGAGAATAGAGAGTATATTAGTTGCTGGTTTATCATTAGTAGGTGCGCATTAGTGGTCACTAATTGCGGCGACTTACTATATTTCCAGAGGAGAAATTTGATCGAGGGTGTAAAGCCAGTTTCCACCCTGTTCTTCCTTCTCGAGCCTGCGATGTTCAGTCAATACCTCAAACCGGGGCATCGAAGATGATACACTACGTACCAGTCATAAGGCCAGAGGATGAGGTGCCCTTGGACCTGGTTGAGGAGATCTTCCGCTGTCTGCTTGTCCATGACTTCGTCGGTCGTGAAATCCCGCTTTGAGCCCAGTGTAGTGGCTCTGCGTCTTCGACGCCGTGAGCGATTGGTGGCGTTCCGGTTTAGCGCCTCCGAGTAGTCGACTTGAGGCGCCTCTGAACGCTGTCTGTCGATGTCATCCCCAGAAGAGACGGTATCCTCTTGTCGCGAATGACGCTCAGTACTGATTCCAGGAACGTCCGTCGGTTTCAAGGTGGATTTTTCGTTCTCTGGTGATGCGATAACCTGGCTGGTTTCCTGATTAGCCTGCGCAAACTGCGGTTGTTCGTTTAGGTTTGATTCGGACTTTTCGTCTGTTGGCGTCTGACTCTTCTGTTCGGTACCATGGCTTCCCGTACGGTGTAAAGGTAGTGAGATGTTCGGCTTCAGTTGCGTGGCCCAGGTGGTTCCCGCGCCGGGGGGCCCTGTCTGTCGTTGATGATGTGGGTTAAAGGCCTTCGCGGTGTGGTGATTCTGCATCTCAGAAAACCGTTCTGCATAAGCAGCGTACTCTTTGTATTCTCTCCAAGATTTGACCTCGCTGTCAGGCATACAGCGAAAGACATTTCGAAATATTTTAGTATTCTTTTCCGCCACAGCAAGCCAAGTATCCAAGTAAAACACATCGACGACAGGGTCCCTCATGCAGTCTTTGTCAACGAAAATATGCTTCACATCCTGCCCAACTGGAGACGCGAATTTCGAGATGTCGAACTTGTCCCTAGTCAATGCTGAAAGCAAGCTGCCGTCTTGTGAAAGCGCTAGAGATGGGTTATGGGCTGCTGGCATTCCTTCCACGACTTGAGAGTTTTCTCCATCTTCGGACGCCAAGGCAGATGGCGTCGCAATGGGTTCTTGACTATCTGAACCAGTATGCGGCTGCGAGCTCTTCCTAGGGGCAGGTTTTGGCTGCAGGACAGTGCCCTTACCCTCACTGGCTAGAGGAGAAAGTAAAACTTCTCGTCGATTATTGAGAATCTCTGAATCGCGAGAATTACCCAGGCCGTGCTGCTCAGCGACATGCAGATTGTCGGCACCGAACCCATCGACATCCTTCTTATGTTCTTGGTTGGAGGTTACCCTCGCATCCGCAGTGAGTTTTCTGTTCGACTTCAGGTTCGGATTATTACCCTGCTCCCAATCGACGTCGTGGTTAAAACTGTGTAAATCTTCGGAACGTGATAGAAACTCGTCCTGTATACGATGACGACGCTCAATCATCTCCCTTTCATCTTGCTTCTCCAACATCAATGACTCGGAGTCGAGGTTAGCCATTCGAGGCGGCTTGGGCTCCTCTTCATCAATCTGGATCTTTCGGAGTTCTTCCTCTGTTGCTAAGGAGTGCTCCATTAATTCGTCGACATCGAGCCCAAGATGCTCCCTCATAAGACGCATGCGAAGTGTGTGTGGAAATCTTCCGACAAGGTAAGGCCGGCCGTTCATGGTGGACCAGATCATATCCGTATCACGAACTACTGACGCGACCTCTGAGTCTCGCGATCCTAGCATAGACCTTTCATTGATATTAGCAGATCCAATGATTGCTGCCCGGTCGTCCACGATCATACATTTCGCATGGATATAGAGTTGTTCGGTGACGAGCTGTTTCTGGGGACCGATCTTGCCCCAGGACCTGAGACTGAAAAAATGTATATAGTCCTCGGGTTCGATCCCAAGGGCCCGCAACCGCCCGAAGATGGACGTTTCACCACGGCAAATACTGCGGTACTGGCACATCATGATCAAACGAACACTCGTTCCACCTTCGCTGTCGACGGTGTTTTGAAAGCCTGGTATTAGCGGAATGACAATGACCGCACGCCATGCCTCTTTGTTCTTTGCCGCTCTGGTGATCCGCTCCACTAAGGCGTCGCCAATCAAATTTTCAATTTTTCGGCCATCAATCTCGCAAGTACTGATGAAAAACTGGTTCTCGATGTACACAAAGTGCTCAGACTCTTCGATCAGCTTCACATATGCGTTCATGATACTGTGCTCGGTGACCTCTGGTGTACCCGTAGACCATACACTACTAGAGCGCAATATCTGAACCTCACAGGTTCCATCAAGGCCAAGAGCCTCCAAGTCTGCTGGCTCAAAATCTGGGGGTGGTAATAGGAATGGCGTCGGGCGTGTGGGTTTCCTTTGTCGCAAAATGTAGTTCCACCGTTGAACAAAATGGCGAGTAAGGTCTCTTGCCGGTTGGCCAACTACATGCATGGAAATATCATGCCAAGGCATCCTGGGAACAACGTTGCGATCATACATTTCCTCGTACGGCTTATCCAAGTCATAAAAGTCTTGTATGCGTGGATTCGAGTAGTCCTTGCCTGGCCACAACTGACAGTTATCTGTGTCTTTCTGGCCACCAGGGGTCTCAAATCCGGTTGGTTTGTCATCCGTGAGGAGATGCTGCGGTGTGTCCCATCGTCCGAAGCATAAATCGATTCCACCAACGAAAGCCAGTGTGTGATCAATGATACACAGTTTCTCGTGATGTGCCCAGAAGAAAGTATTCTGCCGGAATTGGTTAGGTGATCGCTGAACAAAAATGTTGGGATGCAAGTCCAGTAGTGAGAACTTGGAATACTCCGAGTCGATTGGAATGGCCGAGTTGATATTGCGGTACATAATGACAAAGACCTTCACACCCTCACGGGCCTTCCGCTGAAGAAGACGATCAAGTCGCCATTTTTGGCTGATTGCCGCTGGTCTCCGCATGTACAATTCAGGACTCAACCACCAATCGTGTATGTAGATTACATCCTTGGCCTGGTTGATGGCTCTGGATACCACCCACATGTGGTCACGTCCGTCCACCAACCACTGAGCGAAACAATGCTGACGGACTGGGGCAAAACTCTCAAAGCGATTCGGTTTACCCCAAGGGGTATTGCTAACCATGAACCGGATCGAGTCCTCGAATTGGTGAAGTTGGCGCTCGTTTCTAGCCAAGAGCCTGAGTTTCCGCTCGGAATTCTCGAGTCTTAGCGTGTGGTGCTGCGGATGCCTTGCTGATTCTGTTGCCGATTTCGCGAGTTCCTTTGCTTTCTGATGGCGCAAGCTAACCTTCTGGGTCTGAAGTTTGAAGAATGGGTCGACCAAGAACACATCGTAGATATTCATCTCTTCGGGCGAATCGACACAGACAACGTAGCTGTGCCTGACGAGGAACCATTTGGGCGAATGCCGTCTCTTCATCATCCCAGGGTTGAAAGCTCTTCGAAAGTCAAGGCCCTTTGAGGATTGAATCATCAAGTATCCTTCTTTGCCGTGGTAGCTGCCTTCAGCTGCAAGACGAACCCCCAGCGCAGACAGCTCAAGGAACTTGCACAAACGATTACTATCAGGCTTGAAGATCAAAAAATGGATTAGTTTCTGGAGGTAGGCTTCCAACTTCTTCCGCTGTCTTTCCGGATAAGTATCCCTCTTAGTTGTTGGACCGCCCTCCCCAGCAGTTCCTGCGCCAGTCTCGCCCTCGCCGCCGGTTAAACTCGACAATCTTCGGGTGATACCAACAGAAGACCGTCGTCGCCCATAAGCTGGCGGCTGCCTTCTTCCAGCCCTCTCGTTGCCGCTAGTCGCATCGGGGGCGGTTTCATACCCAGCCTCGTCATCTTCGTCTTCCCCCTCACTCTCCAATCCACGAACGCCCCGCAGATATGGAAAGGCACTCCGGGGGAAGCGTGGAAGACTCTGGCCGCTTTCAGGGGTGCGCAGCTGGATGTACTTCTGGGTCCCAAAATGAAGCTTGTACTTCAGGTGGAGATTTGCAAAGTCGCGCAGCGTTCGGTGGATAATCCATTTCATGCGTGTCATGCCGCTCCCGTACTCTAGTTCAATTCGAAAGACGAGGTGACGATCTCCGGAGTGAGAGTCGATTTTGCTGTCCGTGACTCGAACCTTAAGTTGCTCGAGAAGTATCGGAATCCGCTTACTTCCATGTTCATCCCGTTGAAACATGCTGGCTAAAAGTAAGGCAGCTGGAATACCGGACGCCAGCTCAGCCAGCAATTCTGCGGATTTGGCATGATCAACAGTGTTATCAGCCTTGCGTCGCCCGATCAGCTTCAATCCAGCCTTGATTTGTCTCCATTTTTGGGCACTTAGGCTAGAGCCACGGTCAGCCCGGTGACGCCTCCAGGGCGGGGCCAGCCCTTCCCCATTTTCGGAAGGTCCTCCTATACCAGTTATGCGTCGAAGATTACTTGGTCGTTTGTCATCTTGATTAGTTTGGTTGTCTGTCTGTCGGCCACCGTAAGTCAGGCCACGCGAGTTTGTGAGCCAGGCGCTTCGCCGCCTCCATGCAGCATCCCTGCTTAAGCGATCACGGCCCTCGTCTTCCGAGACGCCCTCCCGCTGTTGGTGTATGTCATTCGCGCTTTCCCTCCGCTGAAAGAAACTAGGTCTGTAGTTATCAAACGGTGCAAAGGAACCATACAGATGGAACGACGGGCGGCTATTTTTTGGCGTGTTAGGCTCGGTTTGCGGGGCCGAGTCAGTATCTTGGCCTCGACGGAATCGTCGTTTCTTCCGCGGCTCACGAGATTGCTGTTCTCCTGCACTCTCCTCCGCGTCGGCATCTATATCACTTCCTTCTTCCTCGAGTGTGTTCGGAAACCGGAACTCTCCCCTCTCGGAGGCTGGGGTGGACAAGTCATTGCTAGCAAACCGGGTATCTGATATTGTTGCATTGCTGACCGAGCGCGCGTGGGAAGTAAACGGCGGGGCAGCCGCAAATGCCTTCAGCTTCGTAAATAGCGACTGCCTTCCCCTAACTGGGTCAGTATCGTCGCCTGCGACGGAAGGGGGTCGAGACTGCGAAATCTCGATAGCGGGTTCTATTTCAGAATTCTGTCGGGAAAATTGCACGCTTGCGCGAGGAGGTGATGCAATAGAGGCCGGGATTGAACTCGGCGTTTTCTGCTGGTTAAGTCCCTGTCTGTTGGCGCTCTCGACCGATTCATTCGGTCGTCGTAGGCTTAGCGTAGCGTGGTTTTCTGTATCCCATGATTCGGACGTCCCGCTGATAATTCCACCGCGAGATTTTCGATTATTGTTGTACGAATTTTCTTCATCGCGTACAAATCCGCCATTGCTCGCGTGATCCTCGGTAGCGTGCTTGCTCCCTGTGGGTGACGGAAAGGGGGAGGGCAGTTTCGGGGCGTGGGATGTCGGTAAAGGCTGAGGTCGTTTTGTATAGAATCGATCCGACGTATGCTCAATATCCTTCACCTCTGAGGCATTGACCGAGGTATCAGCCATGATAGCTTGTGCAGGGAGAAGAGGTCCGGTCGCGGTGGTTGCAGGGTGGGTGCGGGTCAGAGCAATTCCCGTCGATGGTGATCAAATCGCGGCCTTCGATGCATTCATGGTCTTCGTTGCCGATGGGCCTCCGATAACACAGGTTTAATGCCACGCTGGTCAGAAACTCAGTTGATAAAGTCAGCCAGGTGCGAGGATGGCAGTCAGGACTGGGCGGCGGCCAAACAAGTGAAACAAACCGTGGAGGGAAATTGGAACGACTACGCCGAGCCGCAGTGGAGCCGGCCCCATCAGCTCAGGACAGCGCCGTTGGCCCATGGTCCTCTCCCTTGGAAAGGGGCATCGAATTTTCTAACTTTGACGCGCCATTATTGGTGAAATCGATTGGTCTGATTGGTCTCCCTGCTGGACTGGGCCAAGAACTTGAAATATGTGATTGTGGCTCAATAACTACGAGACAATTTATGGATTGTAGACTACATGTAGTACGGAGTATTTTCCACATATCCCAACACCTGTCCTATATACTGCGTGTACGGAGTCCGGATCACCTATAAGTTGGGTTTCGCATTCAACGGGGCCCGAACAGAAAACATCGGATAGATGTACATCGTGCAGAGCCCTTAGTCAGACCAGTATTCTATCTAAATCTTGGAGTCTCTCACAGAAGCTTTCTTGACCTCGTCTTTGCCACAAGCAAGGGCGTCCCCAATGAACCGAACCGCTTGATCAACCATCTTTGGCGTCACCTCATGTGCCGCGTTCTGGTCAATAATATCCTCAAGGGTGACAGCACCATCTGCGAACCAACCATCAGGCCCAACCGCCTGTTTTAGCCAAGTCAAAAACGTCTCCCCTTTGCTGTACGGCACCAACTTGTCTTTGCCTCCGGATAAGTTGAGGATCTTCTTTCCAGCTAAGCACTGCGTAAACAATGGCCGCAAGGCGGTTTTCTGGGTCTCCGTGGGTTCTGGGATTGGCGCACTGCGAATAGGCTCCGCCTCTCGACTGAGGTCTAAATGGTTTAGGAACAGGCCCGCAGGGTCCCATTTGCGGACCGCATCCAGAAGGGTGGAAGGAAAGTCCTCCGACCCCAGGAACTGAGCGCCCTCCGGGGTTGTATCCTTCCATGAAGGGAGTTTGGAGAGACGAGCGCGATCGGCCATCACGTTCGCATAATCGGGGCAGCCGATAATAACGATGCCAGTGGAGATGCGAGGTTCATGCAGAATGCAGCTCCAGGCTGCGTGGCCCCCGAGTGATACCCCAAGGACAAGATTTTCGGTAATTCGTCGGTCAGTCTTGGGGAAGACAAAGGCTGGAAGATAGTCCATCAAGAGAGAAGTGTCTCGCGCGGTGCCCTCTAAACCATGATAAAATAGCGTTGTTAGTCCAGAGCCCACTCGGCATTTTGAACGTACAAGAGTATCTTCATTTTCATCGACGAGGCAACTCACGGAAGACGGAAAACATATCCTGAGCATGTCGTGGGTTACCCTTCTTCCACGACTCATTGCACAAAGGGTCAACCAATCTCGTTCCATGATTTCTCTGGTCAAAGGCTACGGCTATCAGGCCCTTGATTGACACTCTGGAGCCCGCATGGCCAGTCTTAGTCCGCTTGTTCCAGTCATTGATCACTGCGGTAGCAATTGGGACCATGCGCTCAAATGCTGCAAGCCGAGGGTGCAGTAACCAGAGACAAGCAATCTCTGATGCTTGAGGAGGGAGTTCATCAAGGCCGAATACTGTTGTCTGGATTCCCGCAATTGGAAAGGCCTTCCGGGAAATGCTGGTCTCGCAATAGCGGGGTTCGGTTTCTAGCGTTTTCAGAGGATCCGTCATTGTCCTTCTCTCTCTTCGAAGCAAGGACATTCAAAAATGAAAGAACAAATAGGATGAATGGGACCAGAAGGGAGCACGGCTTGGCTTACCGGTCATTATATGCTTGGATGTAAAGGGTACTTTTACGAAGTTCAGGCAGTAGTGTTGGAGGCTGGACCGAGTCCGAGAACCTACGAAGCATCTGCCGAGGACCAAGTTTCCCGTTAATAAAGTGTACAGAATATATAGCCCGACGGTGCGTAAACCATCTATATGATACGGAAGGACTTCGCAGGCCTATTATCGTCTCAGAACGCGGTTCCTGGTCCTTTGATAATCGTTTGATCTACGAAAGCACTTTGCTAGAGTCTACTGCAACCTTCTCAGATGGCAAATGCTCAAGGGTGACGAAGCGATTTGCACGAGAAGCTGCAGGTGGAAACGATAGATTCCTCCTCAAGGTATTTTATTTGTAATTGTGATCGTTAAGGGCGTCTGGAGGCTGAGATCGTCACAAACACAAAAGAAGAAAAAAATGAACCCTTGTTTTGTAGTTACACGGATCCATGAGTCCGATCCGCAGCTCCCATAGTCATAATGTCGTTCGACACTCGACTATTGACGCCGGCCCATTACCAGCGCACCACCGGCTTCAGGTGTTGCGTTGCGCCTCAAAAACAAGAAAGACGTTTTCCCTTAACCTTCATCTAAGCAACCAGCTCGATAACACCACCAGCCTCCTTGATCTTCTGCTCAGCATCACGACTGACGTACCGGGCGCGGACAACGATGGGGACCTCGGGAAGACGGCCCTTGCCGAGAACCTTGGAGTAGCCGAGAGAGAGGAGGTCGATGACGGGGGCAGTGTCGGTCTTCTTGCCGCTAACGTAAGCTTCACGCTGCTCGGCGGGAACGAGGGACCACAGCTATAAAAAAAATTTATCAGTCCTGTACCACAATCAAGACGGCCCGCGGCCTGCTGTCGGCTACGCCTCCTGCTCTTATCACAAGAGACCCAAGTATAAATTCACCGCCCAGATCTTCCGCGATTGCAGTGCGCGTCCATCGAATGCCTGAAACTGAATCTGGTTCCGGAACGTACCTTGTCGAGGTTGATTGTGGGCTTCCAGAACTGTTGCTGGGTCTTGTGGAAGTACCTCATACCAACCTTACCGAAATAACCGGGGTGGTACTTGTCGAGGTTTGTGCGGTGGTGGTGCTGACCACCGGCCATACCACGACCACCGGGGTGCTTGCGGTGCTTTCCGATACGACCGTAACCGGCGGACACATGACCGCGGCTAGAAAAAAATGTATATGTCAGTCCCTGTATTCATTCCGGCGATGGAGGACTTCGTGATCCCGGCGGTGGCTCGTCGCAGCACATTTTCATCGACTTCTTCGTTCACCATATTCGTCCGACCAATTCGAGAAGGGCAGAAGGAAGATAGGGAGTTTTCGACTCACTGCTTCCTTGTCTTAGAGAGACGGGTAGGCATCTTGTCGACGGGGACTGTGTTCGACAAGTGTTGGCGATGGGATGCGGTCGGAGTGTTATTCTCTCGGAGGTTGAATTCAAGGCGCTGCCCCGGCTAGAGTGTGCGCTAGCCCGCTTGCTCTGCCCTAAGAATGGGTGAGCCCTAAATTCTCTTGGCGCTCAAGCCACGTGACGGCAGGTCTGATAGCATTGATCTACTCGTCATTTCGGCTTACGAAAAGTAAACGAGGCACGGCTTGTTAAGTTGTTACATTAGCATCAAGGAGAGAAAACCATGCCAGTACTGTCATGACGGCTCTTTAAAATTCACTTTTTGTTGCGAAAGAACCGCGATAACCCATCCAAGGTTGCCGCTGCCGGCAAAAGAGCGGACTCCTTCTCTAGGCTCTGTTTGATCCAGCCAGGTAGCTTTTCCTGAATGTTTGATCGTCCGTATCGCTTGTCAATAAGCACGATGGCGGCATAATCATGGCGGTGTCTAATAGCCCTGCCGATGCATTGGTTCACGGCCCGCATACAAGCGTTCTCATAGAAATCCCTCCCAGCGGCCTTGGCAGACGATCGCCGAGTGTCTTCAGAGCCAGATAGCTCGTTCTGATAAGCCTTCTGTTCAATGAAATCGATTTTGGCTTGCCAAACCGGGCTTCGTACATTAGGGAATGGGAGACCGACAATTAGTACACCTCTGCCTAGTTTGTCTGAGAAATTGATTCCCTCAGACAACTTGCCACCAACCACGGACAAGAGCAACGCCCCCCGACCCTTTTCAATGATGTGGGCATAATGGCTTAGGAAATCATCTGTTGTGATTTCCATTTCTTTGGATTCGTATAGTATCGGCTTCTCTTTCTCGATCAGTTCATACAGTGTTTGCTTATTTTCGCATGCAATTGTTCTCTTCCATAGGCTCAGCACCCGGCTTAGATAGTCGTAGCTCGGAAAGAAAGCAACAACGCCATCGGGTATGGCACGACACAACTGACTGATCGTCTGTCCGAGGTCAAGTATCTAGTCCCAAACCTGGGAGTTAGATATAGTCTTGCTGCAGGCGCTGGAAACCATACCATCTTCTCGCAGTCACGGCCGCCATAGGTAAAGTCAAATTCAGAGTTGAAAACACCTCGAGCTAAGTTATGCGCAGTCAGGTTCTCCGAAGGAATGACATGACCATAGCTGAATGTATTCAAACGATCCTTCGGGACATATGAGAATAAATGGTCCATATAGTCAGACATCTATAGGATTGTCAGTAAACGAGCCTTCTTAAAATAGATAAACGAGAGGAAAGAAGAAAAAGGAGAAGAGCAAGGAGGGCAGAGGGGAGTTGTACAGGAGACATGGTTCCTCCGGCCAGTATAACAGCCCTAGCGTCTTCGACAATTTCCCGAAAGTGATTTGTTGGGTCAAGAAGCATATAACTCAACTGAATATCCCCAGAGATCTTCGTATAGAATAACCTGCCTTCAGAAGAGAGATTCATTAACGGCAGCAAAAAGCTTTGTACATGGAAAAGAACGGGAACCGTAGTTTTGGGCTTCGGTTGCGCGTCCGCTGTTCTTTGTGAGTAATCAACGTAGCCGTCAACTTTTCTCGCGAGCTTGCTCTGCTGCAGGTATCGGCATAGTTTGTAAGGGTTGATCTGATCGATCCCCTTTCCTATCATCAAGTCGGATGGGAGTACAGAACCTTCTGTAGGCTGTTCGCTGCTCAAGATGGACTGGAGATGATCTGCTATAGAGCTGACCAAGCGGATGACCTGAGCAACGTAGCTGCGGTTCTTACCTTTTAGGCGAGTTTTGAATTTGCGAGCATATGTCGTCAACTGGAAAATTGAAGTCCGTAATTGAGAGAGCGTAACTGTGACAGAATGGATGTTGGATATCGCGTCCATCAAGTTGTGGGCCTCGTCGATTATAATTACATGGTCTTTGATCGAGAGACCAAGGGCCTCTCGAGCAGACCTTTGTAGGAGCAAAGGGTACGGAAGAGTTATAATCTGCCTTGAGTCAGCTCCAGAGATGAGAGAAAAGTGCAAAAATACTTACTTCACTATGATTGACAACCGGGCGGGAAGCATAGTAGGGGCATATGCCCATCTTTTTGCCCAATTTTCCCAAGTCCTCAATATCTTTCACGCTTGCAAGGGCATGGTCCCGGAATGACGTGGATTTCAGTTCATCCTCCTTCGACGGCAGAAATGGACATCGAAGATGTGCCGCTGTGTTAGGTTGCTGTAGTTCCAAGCAACGTTCATTAATCACCGTGGGATTTCCCAAAGCGGACACCCCGGGATTGATGCACAGATTTTTCCGAGAACCGAGTGAGAGATGCTTGATGCGTTCCCCTAGCTCCTTTTCCTCGCGAAGACCCTTCCTCAAGCTCTCGGGGATGCTAGATGGCATCGTAACGCGCCTCAACTCGTTCGCGAATTGCATAAGTTGTGAATGCGTCCTCGAGGAATATAATATTTTGACACCGCAGTCTTCGTCTTCTTCAAGTCTGATGTTTGGCCCAGGTCCTTTCAAGCGTGCCAATAGTTCAAGTGTGCTGGAAGAGAGCCCGCTGGAGGTAGTAGATCCTTTCAGGGAGGATCTAGGCTCGTCACTCTCACTTTCGTAATCGTCCAATACAAATTGATCATCGTCTTCGGCATCTTCGTTTGCCAGCGACAGCTTCTGGATCGCGAAAGGTATTAGCTTTTGGTAGTCCTCCGTCAAGGCAACAGTGGCCATACCTGCCGCTTTCTCTGTCCCTCTGGGTTTTCGATTGCGGCTCTCTGCCTTTCTTCCTCTTGTTTAATCCCTGCTAGTCGCAGTTCGAGCTCCTCTCGCTTCTGGGTAATCGCACGACTTGCCTCGCGCTTTGCGAATTCCACCATCCACTCGGGCTCGTCATCATCACCTAAGAAATTAGAATCCACGACACAGTGTTCAAGGGACGTTGTGGCAGCCTACAGGTTGTGTCCTGCACCGCGTCGAGGAAAAATTTCCGTTTGTGGTGCCGGAGCCAGGTCAAAGAGCCGCATATCAAGCTCAGGGATTTCCCCTGTATAGTCAGTATCATAACATCCATAATTGGATTACATGGTGGAGGCTCACAGTCCCTGCCTCAGTCAACCTGTGGACATTTGAACATTCGAACGGGTTGCTTACCAGTCGGAGACTCAAATATAGCAATTTTGCTCTCGTCAAGACAATTATACAATGACTGCATGAACTGGACTTGGATGTCATAAGGCGAGTAGGGATGGTTGAATTCTTGGGCTTTCGGCGTCTCCATTTCTGCGTATGTGTTCTTGTTCAGGTCTATCATTATGTCTCAGTCCAGGGCCAGTTGAAATGCTTTCCAGCAAGGAAACGAGATTATGTATGGCATTGTCTTAGCGGTGAAGCAAACACAACAATCTATATACGGAGTACATGTACTTTGGTCGGAGTGTACGGAATGTGTGGGCACGTACACGGAGCATACCTTGAGTGTGGAGGGAGGATAAGACGTCATTCCCGATATGAATATCAAAACCAGGCTCATGGTTCTCCATCCAAATATGAAATCAGGAGTCCGTGACACTAAGCTGGTGCATGCCCCTGCATGGATGTCAGGGTGATAGGCCTCAGCCGCTTTGGAGGCAATGGACAAGTTTTCTGGGAAAAAACAGACGCTGCGGCTACTGTAGGTAAGCTAAGCCAGATAAAAATAGCTCCTCCGAACGGCTGAAAACTAAAAGTGAGCACTGAAGCAGACACGACTGGTTCGCAGCGAGTTCTATAATATTCACCCCTTTTTTTTCAGTGCGAACTCAGACAGAGGCCGCAGCGACAGAGATTTGAGAAACAAGAATGATATCTAATAATACACTCAAGCCTAACGGGCTCAGTGCTGCTGAGTCCTAACACCGAATACAATAAAAAACCCGCGATCCCCGCCGCCTCCGTACCTAGAAACAAACCCGTTCTTGATACTGATATTGTCCATCAGATCGCTGTCTCCAAACTCTTCCTCGCTTACTACAGAGTAATTACTGTCAGCTCAATAATTCTCCGACTATCAAATCTAACCCTTTCCACAACCCCATCGCGGTCAGGCACTACTGTTTGTTCTAGCGGGGTCAAGCGTCAGACCGAGTTCCCCCCTCCTTGCTAGGTAGTACTCCGTACTACTAGACACTGCAAATCCTTTCCCTTCCTGAGTCTATCATCCATCCTCTTGCTAAGTCTTGCGCCTTACGAGCGTTTCTCCATCTCGTCATATTATTATTTTTGTCCCGCTCTCTTCCTCTCTTGTTGAAATGCGATAAACCATCCGGTTCCAAGACCCTGAACAGTATAGCTCTCGCCTGACGTCTGACTCCGAGACCCAGCAAATTATTGGCAGGGTGGACTCCGGGGACGCCAAAAAGGAGAAAAGCAAAGAAAGAAACGTTTCTTAGTCCAGGCTTCCGAACGCGGCTTATTCTGTGAACAATGAATCAACCACCACAACGCCGTGGCCAGGGAGGTCTGGGTGCGACCTGGATGCCAGGAGGCGATGACCAGTACTTCATTCCCGAGCTGATTTCTCCTTCTCCTCAAAGGTGCGTCCGACCGCGTTTTCTTCCTAGTTCAAGAGTTCAGCCCCTCAGCAGAACAGACACACCGCACAACCACGTATATATTAATTCCCACTACTCCTCCTTTTTTGGGGTGAATTGCTGATTGCAGAACAATAATTTTGTCAACTAGCAGAGTCATGCCAGAAGTCCCGGAGAACATGCAGGACAACATTGCGCAGCTCGAACATCAGGCTCGCAGCCCCAACCGCATGCAGTATGGCCAGGCCCAGTATGAGCGTTCGCGCTTCCCTGAGCGGTCCTCCTCCGCTGCCGTCGTCCAGGGACAACCTATGCAATCTGGCTATGAGGCCACTCACTACGAGCAGTCTGCGGCTGTATACGACGTGATGGACTCACCAAACTTCTCCCCCTTTCCCGTGTTGCGGAACCCGCCACCAAACGTTCCCCCTACCGATGAACAGCGCGAGGCGAACTTGGAGAAGGCACGCGTTCCCGTGCTATCCTCGAACGACCCAGAAATGCAACTGGCTTGGGCCCAGGATGTGCTCGCGCACGTGGAGGTCGCTGTGCAGAATGAGGCCCGTTTGTCTGTGATCCAGCCGCCGCGCCCCCAGACTCCTTCAGTTGAGCGGCAACTGCGGAACGACGCATTGAACATCGTCAATTTTCTGGCTGAACAATACCATCCGAAAGCGGAATTCATCAAGGGAATGTGGTTAGAATTCGGCAAGTTCGGATTCCGCGTGGATAAGAAGGAGGCCTTCCGCTGCTATTCAAGGGCTGCGGAAAAGGGCTACGCGCGGGCAGAATATCGTATCGGGATGCAATTTGAAAGCTCTGGAGAGCCAGAAAAGGCAATCAGGCACTACGAGAAGGGTGTCGCATTCAAGGATTCTGCCTCTTACTACGTACGTCTACTGGAGCCCCAGAGAACATAGCGCACTCTAACCGACTTGGTAAAGCGTCTGGGTATGATGATACTGCTTGGACAGCATGGACAACGTCAGGATTACCGATTAGGTCTCGAGTACATCAGTCTCGCTGCGCAGTCCTGCGACGAGAATGCGCCTCAAGGCGCCTACGTGTGTAGTCCGCATCTGAACCCAAACATCTGGAAACTGACAACTTTCAATGCAGGTTTACGGCATGCTTCTCGCCCGGGAACTACCGCAGGTGAACGTCCCAGAGACCTATCTTCCTCTCGACCTTAACGCGGCACGCATCAACATCGAAAAGGCCGCCTATCATGGATTCGCCAAGGCTCAGGTGAAGATGGGAGCCGCATATGAACTTGGTCAGCTTGGCTGCGATTTTAACCCGGCATTGTCCCTACATTACAATGCGCTTGCTGCGCGTCAGGGCGAACCTGAGGCAGAAATGGCTATCAGCAAGTGGTTCCTTTGCGGGCATGAAGGCGTTTTCGAGAAAAATGACGAGTTGGCGTTCTCATACGCCCAACGTGCGGCTCAAAGTGGTCTCCCTACTGCTGAATTCGCACTAGGTTACTTCTATGAAGTCGGAATATATGTCCCAGTCGACATTAAAGAAGCTAAAGGCTGGTATGCTAAGGCTGCAGCGAGCGGAAATAAAGACGCCACGGGCCGGATCGACAGCATCTCACGGTCAAAGACCTTGTCTCGCCGAGACCACGAAAATGTCGCTATCGCTCGAATCAAGTCCACTCGCTATGGAAATCACCAACGAGGAGCCTCAAACGCAAGTGCAATGCAGCCTGTTACCGAGAGTCTTGAGATGCCGGACCCGTCCAAGATGAGCATTTCGGATTCCGGCCCACCTTCTGCTGCTCCTTACCCCGACCGACCCGCGCCTCATGGGCGCCCGGGCTATCCCCCTGAGAATCGGCCCAGCTCTGCCTTTGGCATCAATCCGAGTATCCGCCCCAACGTTGGCCAGTACAACCGTGCAGCTTCGTATGGACCCGGCCCAATGGGTTACCGCTCACCAGGCTCTTCAACTCCACCCAACGGCCCAGCACAACCAATGTCGGCGGCCCCCAAGTTAGACATCGGCTACTCTGCGCCTATGGAGCCTCCGAGACAGGATATGCGAAGACGGCCCCAACGTCTGGATAATGTGCCAGACAGGAAGCCCGCGCGGACGCCTGTTTCGGGTGTGTCCTCACCGCGTCCTTCTCCTTCTTCCGCAAACTTCCCCCCGCGCGCCGAGTCCATGCAATCTCCCTCCGCTACACCCAAGCCTGGGTCCGCTCCTCCCTCGGCGGCGGTGGCGCCGCCGCAGACTGCGCCAGTGGCTCCTACCAGCCAAAAGCCCGCCCCACCCGGTCGCCTACCCGGCAAAGGCCCAAAGACTTTCGAGGAAATGGGTGTCCCACAAGCCCCGAAAGAGAGCGATTGCGTAAGTGGTTTCTCATGCATGCTAGGCGATTTCTCCGTCGAGACCTCTAACGCTTTTCTAGATTGTCATGTGATACCCAATATTTCTTTTGCGTTTGCATTTATATTATCCATTTCGTGTAAAAATTGGGAGTTAACAAGACTCATTCTGCTTTATAGCTAGGTTATGTTCCGGTGTGGGCATCTGTTATGGATGAAATTTATAGCAGCAGTTAAGTAGGTAAAGCATTATTCTTTGTCCAACGCTTCAGCCTGGCATCCTTGTCCTTGTTTTCAATTGCATGGTTTTTGTTTGCATAGATCTAGTAAATTTTATCTGGCTCCTCCACATAGTTAATACTGAGGTTTCTGTGTCAGCACCACGCAAAACCCTGCCTATCCTCCTATCTTCCCTCCGTTCTTCATTATACCTTTCTCCGCCTCACTCACACATCTCAACCCTAGCCACGATATTTCACACAGCATTTGTCATGGCTCAAAAGAAAGGAAAGACTGACAAATCAGCTAAAGATGGTGAGCTCCGAAACCACAGCTTCAATGGTTTGTGAGGAAGCTAACATCTATTGAGCTTCCTTAGAGGGCTCTGCGCTGATCCTAGATTACCTGCGTGGGTGCTAGCCTTGCCTCCTCAATCCATTCTTGAGTTGCTTTGACCGCTGATGCCACCTTGAGTCTACAGGGAAGCAGAAGTATGGCCCATCCTGATCATGAGTTTGTGTGGCATGGGAATGACTGACGGGTAGTCGTCCTTACTCGGCACTTGATATCTCGACAAACCTACATAATAAGGTCACCAAGAGCAAGTTCATCTTCTTAATCTGCAGTTATTGTGCTAAGATGAAAATACACGCAGCATATGCTGTGAGAACTTTACGTGAACTACACCAAAAAAAGGAGATTGAGTGTCGAGTAGCCGGTGAGCTTTCCCCACGTGCCTCAACTAGTACAACCAGATAATAACACCTCTTAACACGAAGGAAAGCAAACAGTCTACCATGCGTTGCAAGAAGAGCCCGATAATAATGGCTCTAACGTTGTGGCTACCATGGATGAGGAGATCGAAAGCCTACAGGAGCAACTCCCCTGTCTGAAGGAGAACGAGAAGAAGATACAAGGGGAACTAAACTCTCTCAAAGCAATACCCTTGCTCTCGGAACTTCGCCTCGAGATCGGAAAGCTCGATGATGAAAAGAAGTCGCTTGCTGCTCGTTTGGCCAAGGTGCATGGTGATAACTCGACCGAGGTGTCTCTCCAGGAGAAGGAAAGCGTGAGGAAGGACTGGAAGATGTGGCAGAATCAGCGTAGGGCTCGGGCTAAGATCTGTCGCGATTTCTGGCGCAAGTGTTCTGAAACACTACCCGAGGGCGTGACTGGAGAGGAGCTTTGGGTACGACATTGCTTTTATGTGTCTACTGTGCTGACTGCTGACGCCTTCTCGCAGGAGAGCTTGGGGCTTGAAGGGACTTTGATGTAACAACAGCAGATACCTAGCGGAGTAGCTTTGATGCCCGCATACTTATCAATCCCAAAGGTGTCAAGAGAGAAAAACGAGTCGGCAGTGTTCAAGGTGATAATAATACCAAAACTATTATTGCTCCTTACGCAAAACCGTTGCCCAAGTTGTATTCGTCTGCACCTCTCGGCGAGTCGGCGGAGTCGGCAATGAGCACGAGAAGAGTGTGGGGGGCCGGTTGCACTTACTGAGTACAGATAACCTGCGATCGGCGGGCCCTGACTGACTGACTCTTGCCGGGCTAGGTAGATCATTGCCTCATCCTGATTAGATGGCTGCGGGACTTTGAGGCTGCTTGTACTCCGTATACCTGACGAGTCAGAACAAAATGAAACCGACTGAGACAACAACAATTGAACAAAACAGGTACCTGCGCGGCGCTTGGAGGTCTCAGGTAGATTAGGTTTAAGCATGGCGCATGATGTCGCCAGATGAACCATGTAGGTGGCGTCATGTCAGGCAAGAACGGAGTATCACTCCATTTTCTGGTGGCTGCCATCCCCATCGTTCATCTGATATCTGATGTTCCCGTTCGGGGAACGCTTCAGTCTGACCAACCCACCAGGCGTGTTGTGTGTATATAGTATTCAACTCGCCGGACTCTTGATTGCGTCGGCTTCAAACCCCGGTCTTGCTTGATCCGTGTTAAAATGAAAACGTGGAGGTCGTGGAGAGCACGAGTCCGAAGTAAACGTCAGTCAATACCTACAGAGTGAAGGTGAGCCTCATCCATCAGCTGTGAATGGACCCATCGCTGCCCTTCTGGACCTTTTCATGTCAGTCTCGTGGGTTGACATTTGACAATAATAATATCATCAGAGACTCGATCGCGCCTTTAAGGTAGATACCTTAACACTCACACCGCCAACGGTCCCCCACTCGCAGGTCGCCTCCGTCGGATCAACCCCTCCAATTTTTGCGTTAACTGCCTCCCCGAAGCGCCCTGGAGATTGCAGATGTCGGCTTCTCGCAGTTCTCCGACTCAACCCTCCGCTGGTAATCCTCCTAGCTCGCATAGCCGGCTCTCAAGTGACATGAAAGGTCGAGCACCCCTCCCGGTTCCCCCCGGATCGCAGCAGCTCCAAAACGGCCATTCTCGCAATCCCTCCGGCTACGACATGGCTGCCCGCAGTCCTCCAAATCAAAGCAGTGAGCCTTCCAGTCCGTCGTTTGTCCATTTGATGGTTTTACAGAGTCTGCATCGATGACTCATTCCTACCGTCCATCTTCCATGATGGGAGCTAATTCGATCACTGTGTGTGACAGACACGAAGCATGTGCCCTGCAAGTTCTTCCGTCAAGGAGCCTGCCAGGCTGGACCTGCTTGCCCCTTCCTTCACTCCACAGATGCCGCGATCGAGTATGCTCCCTGTAAATACTTCACAAAGGTACGTGCTTTCATCACCACGGTGTCCCGCTTTGGTGATACGCTCTATCTCGCTGACTGTGTTTGGCCTCCGCGGTAATAGGGTAACTGCAAGTTCGGGGCAAAATGTGCACTTGCTCATATTCTGCCCGATGGACGACGAGTCAACAGGCCTAGTGGTGGGGGAATGGGGATGGGTGGCAGTCATCTCAATCTGGGCGGCCGGGTCAATCCTCAGGCGTATGTCAACCAAGATTCCGCACTGACCAACTCTGTTCTCTCGCAACAACGCATGAACGGCCATGACCCCAGATATGTCTCTCAGCTCCCTTCGCAAGAGGAATTCGCCGCCCTACACCCGCAGCCGCAGCCGCAGCCCTATGATACCATTCCCTCGATTGACACCGGGCTAGCCTCCGACGGCGGCTCCAAGTACGGCTCACCGGTTGAAGAGCTACGGTTTCCCATGTCCCCAAATCACAGCCAGTATTTAACTGCCCTCGATGCGCCGCTTCCCGCCTCTTTTGATAGCCAGGGAATATCCCATGCCGCTCGTTATGGTCCAGTTGCCGCTTCCGTGCCTTCCAGGTTTGGCTTAGATCTGGCCTCCCCACCTGCACAGAGAACAAACCCGCCGCGAACCTTCCGCGAACCTTCTTGGGGCGCTGATATGAAGAAGCCTGCGTCTTCGTTTATCGGTTCGTCGCCCCCTGGTACGCTTGAGGATGGAATTGGGTCGCGATTCTTGCATTCGCAACGACCTGTGAAATCGCGGATGCTCTCCGCGAGTGTTCCCCGTCCAAACGCTCTGGGCGACTGGGAGGATAGCAATTTCCCCATGGAAGAAGATTATCTGCCCATGAACCTACATGACGATGTTCTCACTCCCCAGGAAAGACTTCGCCGTTTATCTCGCACGGACAATGAGCTGAGCTCTAGCCATCGCGACCTCAGCGGGTTGGGCATGAGCACCAGCTTTTCAAAAGTCAACTCTCCTCTTGCCTCGAGTCCGTCTCGATTTGGGGCGCTGTTCGCCAAGCAACGCCAGCAGAAGAAGGAGGAAGAGGCGCATCATGGATCACTTACACACATTGGGTCTCCTTTGCGGGAGTCATCTTTGCACTTTGGTGGAAGCCCCAGCCTCGGCCCTATTGGTAGTCCGCCACGGACATCCTCAGCTTCTGTGATCTCCCAGCAACTCAGCGGTCTGTCTCTGCACCCATCTTCGGCGCGCCATACTCCATCAGTGGCTGCTAGCAGCCGCCCAGACCTCACGGTGTCGTCACCCGTCAGCACCAGCAAAATCGAGGAGGAACAGGAACAGGGCGAGGGAGATCTCGTCTTCTCTATGGAGGAAGAAGACAGCAATAAAAGAAGCAGCAACGAAGAAACCGCGTCAGCAGGAAAGACGTCTAGTTTACAGGTCTGATGACGGCGGGCCATTTTCTCCGAACAGGAAACAAGATTCAGCACGAATACACGAATAAAAGATGAGCGGCTATCATGCCTCGGCGCTGGTCATAATCATCGTTCACAAAGGATCACCACCCGCATTACTTGCAGTCTCAGGGGAAATTTTTGCATAGATCGGTTTAAGCGATTTCTGGGAGTTCAGTTCAGTCTTTTGCCACTCTTCAAGCACGCCTCACCCGCAACTCTATCATGGTCTTCACAACCTTGCATATCATCACCGACTAGACAAATCTTGGTGTTCTTTTTTTTTTCTATCATAAGGGGCGTTTCAGACTGGGTGATAAGATGCTTGATGCAGGTGTTAAAGAAACGGTTTTGTATCTGTATTTGACCAGGCATCTTTTCCCCTTCATTTTCTTATACTTCTCGTCAAGGCGTCTCTCGTGGTTGACCAAGTTTGGAGCTCTCAATTTTTCATCTTGTTTCTATGTGAGCTGTCATTTATTGACCCTGCCTTATTTTTCTCGTTGTCTTACTGCCGGACCCTACTCCTTTCACCTATCCTATCATCCGTTCTCCAACCGTTTTTGTACATTCTATGCTCTCTCTCTCTTCGGGTATTTCCTGATATGTATGCAACTCACGAGTCAACGATTGATATATCTCCTCCCGTTCCGAGTTTTCTCTTCGTAAAATCATATTGCATTAACCGCTGAGTTGAGTAAAATGGCCATCATCATGTCGCATCATACCCGACATCTTCCAAGGGATACGTTCCGGATTCCTGGTAGAATCTGTCCAAGTGTGTAGCGAGTGCCCTTTTCGATAGTTTCTACAGCTTGTAGTGCAAATCTTAGGGGGAAGGGCTGGGTTGAAGATATCGCACACTGGACTAAAACCGAAGAACATTTTGAGTAGATAATGATTTGCACCCACAAAGCTCTCGATGTTTCACTGGATGCATAATAACTGTTATTCTGGGCTGGAGACTCAGTCATGTTTCCTATAGGTTGCTGCAGTACTGGTGCCACATAGCCCTAAACTGGATCGACCTGCCAATGAGCAAATATATATGGCGGTACCCAAGTGTCAGGACCATGAACAAACAATCACTACAAAATAAAAAGGCGGGTCTCAATAATAACAAATCAACTAGTGCACAAATGGGTATATTGTTACACATAAAGCTCAAAAGCCTACATTCCTCACAACCCTAAGATTATTCCTCAATGGATCAGGTGAGGGGCCTAATATAACAATGTGAAACTCAACAGTTTCAGGCGAACAAGAACAATATCGCCGTAAAGCTACAGACACGTTGTATCGCTGGATTGAAGCTAATATACAAGAAAGGGATATAGGTAGCCTAGTGAATGATTCTTAGTGTCTGGCTGATTCAACCATTGAACACCCCTTTCCGCCTTGCACCGAATCATATAAAGAGCAAACCAGTAGCCCTGCTGATCTAGATGCCTGAGATCGAGACGCCAGCAAGCTCCCCGCAAATAATCTGAGGTCTGGGAAGTCAAAGAGCTGGATTTAGGCGGCGGGGTCAGTCTCATCTAGGTATATCCCACTGCCTTTGAGACTAACGAATGTTGCCCTGGTTGAGCCCCCTTGGATATGCGCTACCTTTGCTCGAATGGCACGATCTGCTAGGATTCGTTGCTCACGAGCCTTGATGTCCGCTTGTCGAGCCGCCTCGGCCCGGCCCTGATACAAAGCCTTGTAGATCTGGTTCGTGCCGTTGATGATATCCTTTGTCATGAAGTCAACAGCTTTTACGGCCGCGACTTCTGTTTGCGCCACGAGAGCTGTTTGCTCATCGGCGCGCCGCCGTTTGATACCTCGCTCTCGTTCCTCTTTCTCAGATCTTTCCTTGCGTTTCTTGGCCTCAACAAGTTTCCGGCGCTCCTCCTTCGCGGCAAGGTACTTTAGCGAGTGGCCTAGTTTTTGCTGAGCCATTGACCCCATATCCAAAGGCGCGCAAGAGAAGAAAAGCACATGCCCGTGGTCATCGCAGTGGAATTGGTCACGGATATCCGCTGGGATGGCCGCATTGGCGGTGTCGCTTAGATGGAACACTTCAATTGGCCGGGGAGCGTTAGGATTGTACACAGTAGGAGCTCCTGGCGCACGGCTCATTTGATATGGCGTGTATTGTGGACCCTGAGAGACAGCATATGGTAGAGGAGTAGTCGGTCCTTGATAAGCCCCTGGCATTGGACTCTGAGCCACAAGTCCGCTTGAGCGTCTTTGCTGTAGGGCTGGCTGGTAGGGGACCTGAGATTGATGATAAGAAATGGGAGGAACTGGGACTGGAGAACGTTGAACAGTTCCGATATGTGCAGCGGGCGAACGCACCGCAACGGGACTCGCCGCGGCTATAAGTGCGGCAGGACTGTTCATAACGGGCTGTGTGGGCGCCTGGCTCATCGATGCTTGTCTAGGAACTGGCGGTAGAGCCGATGAAGGAATATTTGCGGGAGGTGGTGAAGGAGTTGGCTCTGGAGGTGGAGATTCCTGCAGAATATGTCAATCTGGGATGAACGCTGTATTGCATGAGTAGAATACCACTTACGTTTTCATCTCGAGGACGACAGTGAACTGCACCTACTACTGGGGGTGCATTTTCTGCCCCCCATGTTGGCTTTGGTAGGTCATCTGTCTCTTTCGCATCACTTTTGAGGAGGTGTTTGATCGGACTGGGGATTTTCTTGATCCTGCGAGGAACGTCATACAAATCCATCTCGTAGTCCTTCTCACGGACTTCATCGGGGAGGCAACTGGCCCATGTTTTTATTTTGTTAAGTTTGTGTTTTTCCTCATTGTACCGAGCCTCACACACATAGATTTCTTTATCGAGAGGAAAGTCTCTGGGCCTTCCGCGATTGTACCGTGTGAAAAACATCACGAAGCAACGGTCAACAATCTCATCGATTCGATGATCTCGGTATTGGCCCGTCTTGACAACCTCATTGGGGTAGAAGTGCTTTTCATAATGGTGAACCGTTTGCTCCGGGCGATAGTACCAGCAGGCATTAATCCATTTCTCGCCCTCAGAGTCCTGCCAGGTCCGGTAGATTTGCGCCACAATTGGCTTGGTTACATCATTAGGGTTCTGAATATGCACCCAATCGCCAACCTTCCACAGTTCCCCCTTGTAAAGAATGCCGTCGGGAAGTGGTAGGCGACCGTCTTCCATTAGATATTCGCTGTCGGGTTTCTTCTTCTCAAGATCTGCAAGCCTTCTTGCTTCCACTTGAAGGTCTACCGCATCCTTGTAGATCTGACTCTCGGATTGATTGTAGGCTTTCGCGTTGTTGAACATTAGGTCCATATCCTTCATGAAATGGTCCACTGAGTTATACTTCTTCCGCTTCGACTTCCGCTTGATGATATCGATCGCAACAGGTTCTTTTATTTCGATGTAGTAGTCCGGGTATACGCCCTTGTCGGGAAGGCGCTCAAAATGTCGAACTTTTAGTTGGTTCCCAGGCCCTTTTGATTTCCGGATCCCCTTCAAGACCGCCTTGATTCTGGCTTCCATCGGTGTATCGACACGTGGAGGACGGCCTCGCCTTTTCCTTTGCTCGGGATCCGCAGATTTACTCCCGTCATCTTTAATGCCGTCTCGTTTGGACCCGGGGCGAGGACCCCTCTTCTTTCTTTTGCGGCCTTCGTCATCCGAGTCATCATCGTCATCATCTTCATCTTCGTCGTCGTCGTCGTCGTCGTCGTCCTCTGGCAAAGGATCCGGCTCCGGAATTTCACCCAAGTCCGGCAGTTCAGCCTCTTCCGCAGTGATGACACCTGCTTTGACTAGCTTCTGCAATTCATCAACGAAGGCATCTTTGATCACGAGCGAATCCTCGTATGCCTGGGAGTCAGGCCGGTTGTAGGTTTGTGCATTATGGGGGATCTGCGCAATAACCAATATCAGTTACGAATACAAGGTCTTCGCCGGCTAAGCTTACCAGGGCGCAATCTCGCACGAACTCAGAGACGCTCTTGTACTCCCGCTTGTTTATCTTTGCCTTCAGGATGCTAAGAGCCATAGGCTCTTTGATAATATCGTAATAATCGGGAACATTGCGTTTGTTGACGCTGCGGTGGAAGAGTCTCGAAGGGTCATGACCACTGTGTGGATGAATATGGGCGTGAGCATAGCCTTATTTGCGACATCATCCTCCCTTGACATGTCGCACCATCGGTCCGGCAAAAACTTACTCTGCTTCTCGAACCTCATAGATGGCCAAGACAACATCCATCATGTGTTTCCATTGTTCATCCGCGATGGCGCTGGCGACGCCGTTTTCCTTGCAATCGCTCTCAATCGACTGGACGGGCTCTTCAGGAGTTGGTTGCGCTTGCGACGGTTCGGAGTCCCTCTCCATCGTGTTAACCACCACGAGCACGTGGACTGCACCGCAATACAGAACAGAACGGTTGAGATTGCCGGGAGTGACTCGTCAACTGATTTCTTTTCACCGAGAGAGTATCTCAACGTCAAGAAGCACGCAACAGCAACGAGCAGAGGTTCTGCTGCCAGTATGCTGACTAAGGACCCTGATTGATAACTTACCGCAATACACAAGTCATGTATTTATACGGTATCATTACGCCTCTCCTGATATGATAGAGTAATTAAGGTAGACGCTCTGCGACAGGGCTGCCAGGTGCTTAACTGAGCAACGAGTGGAGATTTGCGTCTTGCCGCTGTGAAGTCAGGGTTGCAACTCTTCAAACCCAAAAGATCTCTGCGTGGACCTAGGACCGAGATAGTCAGCACTTTAGTATAGCAGTGGATCCCTTGAAAATCAGCCGCTATGCTTGCCTACTGCGCTGGCACCCTCATCACAAAGTTTCTGAACGGGTTCCCAGGCAGGAAAAGTGAATACAAAGAACCGATGAGATCTCTGTCCCCAGATCATACACGGTTGATGAATTCTGGGTAGATAGATGTTGCATTAACTACTGCTGACTGTCCGTGCGATGTCGTCCTACTCTGGAGTCGGGCCTTAATTAATACTTAATGATTACCCGTATTGTGCACAAGACTATTGCGCACAGATGCTCCAGCCCTAATATTACAGATAATGCAGACTGCAGTGATTTACGCAGCGGGTCATCCTTCGCCTGAAAGGACCNCCCCCAAAATAGATACATGGATAACAGGGCAGGCCGCAAGGTGAGATCTTTGCGGAAGCGGATGCTGGCTGGACATTTCCCCGCATGCAGCATTGGCGGTTGTTAATCCTCCGTAAAGCAAAGCGCAAATTTGTTGCTCATCAGGACACTACCCGCAACTTGAAGGGCCTGTGAATACCAGTGGCAATCAGATCTTCAACAATCAGAGTCCGCTGCCCTGGATTCATGATTGCAGCCATTGGCAACCTGTGCCCCACTCATTCGATCTACGTCACTAATCACCGGCAGGGGCGATAGTACTAGTACCCAGGACTCCAGGAGTTTCATCCTCTCTTCTCTTATCATCCTGTTTACTACACATCTGCTTACTCTTTTCGAAGATGAGAGTACGGATACGAGGACCCTCTGGGCAATATACTGCCATCCTGGCCGAAGATGCAACTATCGGAGATCTACAGAAAGATATTGCTGAGAATACGGGATTGACCGCATATGACGTGAAGTACGGCTACCCGCCGAAGCCGCTATCGTTGGACCAGACAGGAACGCATCAGAAGCTTACCGAGCTCGCCATCCAACTGGACCGGGAACAACTGATCATTTCCGCCAAAGACGGGCCATGGACCGAACTAGCCACGACGAAAGAAGCCGCTTTAGTCAATGCACAGCCATCATCTCCGAAACTCTCCTTATCACGCAAACAAAAACCCGTTGCCGAAGATACACCGAAAGTCTCCTCGGCGGAGCATGGGGGCATATTCGTTCTGCGGGTTATGCCGGATGACAACTCGTGTCTATTCCGCGCAATAAGTACAGCACTCCTCCCAGGTGCAGACACCATGGTCGAACTCAGATCGGCTGTGGCCGAAACAATTCAGAATAAACCCGACGAGTACTCATCCGCTATCCTAGAACAACCCCCGGATGACTATTGTCGCTGGATCAAGAATGAGACTTCCTGGGGCGGAGCGATTGAATTGAGCATCTTGAGCAAACATTTCGATATCGAGATTTGCTCGGTTGACCTTGGAAACCTTCGTGTAGACCGTTTCAACGAGGGCCAAAGCAGGCGGTGCTTCCTGGTCTACTCTGGCATTCACTACGATACCATTGCTTTATCGCCTTCTGAGAATGCCTCACCCGATTTTGACACTACCGTCTTCGATGCATCGGATTCCCTGGCGCTTGACAAAGCATTAGACTTGTGTAGGCAGCTGCAGGAGAAGAATTATTATACTGATGTGGCGGCGTTCCGCCTCCGTTGTAACGACTGTGGTGATATACTCGTTGGGCAGCAAGGTGCCAAGGAGCATACAGCGCAAACTGGGCATAGAGACTTCAGCCAGGTTGCATAAGGTCCGAATTGCAAGCTGCCGGCTATGAAATTGGCGTGTACAAGATACCTAGTTATACCACAGGACCTCGCTTTCCATTAATTGTGAATACCTGCTATCACACCCACGACCGCTTATAAGGATATACCAGTCATCCGCGATACTTTCGGGTATTGACGGCTTAGAAGACATGTATGTGCGAGATATCATTATTTTACATCATTGTCAAGGATTTATACCATGTCCACTTCGTCGTCATCATCATCTTCGTCCCGACCTTTATCGCGTTCATCTTCTCTCCCGCTATCGGCGCTGTCCTCTGGCCCTCCCCATTCAACATCGTGGTCGATAGGATTCGTAAAGAATTCGTGTTGCATGGCCTCTTTTGCACTAAGACGCTTGGATGGATCTAATTCCATCAGTCCTGCCAACAGCCGGGTAGCTTGTTTTTCGCTCTCTGTTAGCTCCTCGACACAGCTAGACCATTTCACAAGCTTTTCCCAGCTATATCCCTTCTCACCAATTGTCGGGATATTGGTATCAAAGATCTGCCCGTGCATGGCGGCGGCATTTTTCATGCGCCGAGTGCCGAATATGCTTGCCATTTCAATTAATGCATCAACGTCGTCGGCTGAGTTGAAGAATGGAAATCGACGGCCAAGCAATGTTAGCAATATTACGCCAGCGGACCACATGTCGATTTTGGTTGTTTGAGATGTGCATTTGAACAGAACTTCGGGGGCGCGAAATCCTCGAGTCCCTGCACGATTGGCACGCCTTGACGGCCGAGAGTCGCTTTTCGGATAGCCTACGGCGAGGCCGGATGAGGCACATTGAATGTAGTGGTAACTTTGCGTGTATCGCGTGCGACGCATAGAGCTTGTGCTTGTGCACAGGCATGTACCAGTGTATTCTGAACCTTCGCGTTCTGCTAAGCCAAAATCGACCAAAACGCCTTCTCGTAAGTCCGGGTTGTACAAGAAGTTGGTTGGCTTGATATCACGGTGTAGTATATCGTGCTTATGGACCGAGTGCAATGCAGTAAACAACGATCGGAAGTAATGACGCATATCAGCCACCATGAACGTCCTATATTGGAGTCGAAAGTCGGTATGGGGGAAGAAGGGCAAAACGGCAACGACTTGATCATGATGACGGAATGCAGTTATCAGAGGACAAACCGATCGGCACCCCCGGAGATCGTGTAGTAATTCGAGTTCGTTCTGAATGCGCAAGGGGCTGCTAGTGACGTAGATTTTTTTCAGCGCAACATACCGCGGTTTCCTTCGTCTGATGAGCATTGCATTCCCATTCTCGCCTTCAACTCGACGTCGTTTAAACAGCGGATTTCCCCATCCATCGCCTGAATTGCCTTGGAGCACGTCCCAATCATTTCTATATTGGTCATATAGGAGATCCTCGGCTTTGTATACGGTCGAGAAAGTGCCTAGAATCAACAGCAAGTTTAGTCAAGTAAGTTAGGGGCGTTCTATATGGGGTTCGAGAATGCATTCAAGGGCCATACCTTCACCAATTCTGTTCACTAATCGAAAGCGATCCGAGATACCTGGAAATGTGTCCTCAAGCTTCTTCATGTCTTCCAAGACAACCTCGTCGACCTCCTCCTCCTCTAATCGGTCATCTCCTTGGTCACGCTCCGGAAAAGGTCGCTGCAGCTGTAAGTCGTGGTCGGATACTGTGCCATGTTCCCGAGAATATTTTGGCGGCTCTAACATGGCTCGAGGGTGTTGGAAGCCTGTGATATCTGAGGAGGGCGCGTGGAGCATGGACATGGCCCCGTGGAGGCAACGGGTGATGAGGGGCGGACGGCAAGACCGGCGCGGTTGCGCTCAATGGAATTTCGCGCAGTAATAAAAAAAGATGAGAGGAATTCGGTTAATAGGTAGTGACTTGCATTAAGGAAGGGTATCATGAGCGTGTATAGAAATCAGAATAGTTTCGCCAAACTTGTTCAAGGGTGACGTGAAATCTCGGGACATTATTTTGATGATTCTTCAAAGCAGCATGTAAAATGTCCGGATACAGTATAGCATATAAGCATTATTGCAGTTCCTGGCGAAATACAATAACAGTGTAACGAGTTCGGCCAATCAGATTAATTGCTGCTTCCATGGTTGCCTGGAAATTGATAGCTAAAAGCGGGAAAATACAAACAAAAGCCCGCGCGCGCCATCGCAGGATATTCCTGCCCTCCTCTCTGAACCCCGCAACTCTATCCGCAAACCAGCTTTCCTCCTCGCGGATTCTTTCGAGGCCTCCCTCACCGTCTCCATAATGGAGGATAGGATTCACTTTGATATCAACGACTCTCTCAAATTCTATTTGAGCGACCCGACCTCTGTGCCGACTCCTGAAGCTGACTCCGAGTTATTGGAGTTCGAAGCCGAGCCGGAGCAGCTGTCCAGCGCAATCATCGACAATGTACTAAACTCGATCGTAGATGCGGTGGCTGAGAATCCAGAGGGGCTATCCAGAGCATCCTCATTTGATTCATTGCAGTTTCTTCTGAAGTGCGCCTTCGCCCCTAATCCCGAGGCCTTCGTTGGCCCATTTGGTCCCAATTCTGAACTTTTGAATTCTTACAGATATTCCACCTTTCTTCCGACGAAGTCCTTGAGCAAGCTCCTCGACTTGATAGTTTCTGGTTTATCGGTTGAGGCTGATATTATCCATGGAGATCTCGAATCCGATGAACAGGACAGCATCCAACACCATAAGGAGCTCCTGGAGATGTATGGCTTCGTTCTGCAATGGGCACTCTCCGCTGTCGAGTTGAAGGCTGCCGAAAAGCCAGCAGAAACCGCGCCCGCCCGGCGGGGAACTGGTAAGTCTGCGAGGTCTAAAGCCACCAAGGACAGCAACTGGGATGGAACAGCCCAAATTCAGGTAGCAATGGAGACCATGTGCAAAGTCATGAAGTTAAAACTCAGCAAAATATTTCTTACCACATCGGACCGAGATACGTTTATCAACCTGTTCACCCGCTCAAGTTATCTCATTTTGGAGAGCGAGCAGCGAGTGAAAAGCATGGCGATCCGGATGCATGCCTTCAAAGTCTTATGTATCGCAGTGAAGCACCACGGCCATGGATTTGGTAAGTTTTTTTTTTTTTTTTTTTTTTTTTTGCAGAAATGGCCGTGAACGTGGAATCTGACTTCCCATATAGGTGCCCAGACATCTATCGTGCAAAGCTTGACATACTTCGAGCACCTGTCTGAACCGATGGCAGAGTTTTTACATATCCTCGCAGAGCAATACGACTACCCGCAATTATCAGATGAGATTCTAAAGTACTTCAACTGCCCGCAATGCCTGCTATATTCCTTGCGCTAATTGACCGTCAGGGAACTCGGAAACAAAGAATTCAACTCGAATGACACTCGAGGCCCAAAATCAGTTTCTGCATTCATAATCAAGCTTTCCGAGCTTGCTCCCAGGCTCATTATTAAGCAAATGACGCTGCTCGCCAAACAATTGGACAGTGAGGTAATCAATCCACATTGTCACGTATGGAATTGGAGAGCGACCTAATTCTTTCTAGTCATATACCCTGCGGTGCGCCGTCGTCGAAGTATGCGGAAACCTCATAGCCGATCTTAGCAAGCAGGAAGAGCGAACAGACAACTACAAAACACAGATCAACGCATTCTTTGATGTTCTTGAAGAACGGTTCCTAGACATCAACCCTTATTGCCGTTGCCGAGCTATCCAAGTTTACATGAGAATTTGCGATCTGGAACAGAAATTTCCGAAACGCCGACAAGCAACTGCCGAGCTAGCGGCAAGGAGCCTCGAGGACAAGAGCAGCAATGTTCGGCGAAATGCGATTAAATTGATTGCAAAATTAGTGTCCACGCATCCTTTTGGCGTCATGCATGGCGGACAGCTCTCCTTGAATGAATGGACAGAGCGGATCGACGCCGTAGACGCCGAACTCAATGCGCTGAGACCCCCAGAGACGCCAGGCTTCGACGCCGGAGATGTTTCGCAAGTAGACAGTGAGCTCTTGGATGATGCAACGCAATTACCAGACGAATCGCCCTCAAAAGCACCGCATATTTCAGAAGAGGAGCAGACAATAGCGATGAAGAAGGCCGCCGAACAAGCGGCTACGTCGGAGTTGCTCGCTCGATTGCAACTGACCAGGAAATATTACAACGAAGCGATCCGCTTTATTGAAGTTCTCCACACATCATCCAACATTGTTACCCAGCTTCTTTCTTCTAAGAATAAAAGCGAGGCTATTGAGGCCATGGACTTTTTTGTCATGTTGGATGCGTACAAAGTCGAAACCGCTCGCATGGGTATTCGACGGATGTTAAGACTCATCTGGACCAAAGGAAACAGTGATGAAGGGAAAGGAGTTCAGACTCACTTGATCGATTGCTATAAAGGACTCTTTTTCGAAGCGCCAGACTCGTTTAGTCCGAATGACGCAGCGAACTATATTGCTCGGAATATGATCAGTCTTACATTTGGCGCGACGTCTGCCGAACTTACATGCCTTGAACAGCTACTGAGCACTATGATGAAAGCAGGCCATATTTCCGAAGCTGTTATTGCTAAGCTTTGGCAGGTTTACGGCGTGCAAAAGAAAGAAATCTCCAGAACCCAACGTCGTGGTGCCATTATCGTTTTAGGTATGATTGCTTTAGCTGATCCTGAGGTTGTCATCAAGGAGATTGAGATAATGCTCAGGATCGGCCTTGGAAGCCTTGGAAGGTCCGACCTGGCCCTCGCAAAGTATACGTGTATTGCACTAAGGCGCATGGTCCCAGGGCGCCAGGCCAAATCGAAAGAGTCTAGCATCTCCAAGCTGACAAACGATCACCCTGTGCTGATGAAGCTTGCCGCGATGGTTGAAACAGTCTCGGATAGCAAGGAGTGGTATGGGGTAGCAGAACAAGCCATTAGCGCTATCTACGCTTTGTCGAAACACCCGGATGTTCTTTGCTCTGATCTCGTCAAGCGGAAAACAAGATCTGTTTTTCAGCCGCAGATCCGGCGGCCGTCTTCGAGCAACTCCAATATTGAAGAAGAACAACGGCCTGGTACAGCCTCCAGTGATAAATCTGCTTCAGGCCAGAAGACTTCGTCAGCGGCGTTGTCTCAACTTTTATTTGTTGTGGGTCATATTGCGATCAAACAGATCGTTCACCTAGAACTGTGTGAGCTTGACTTCAAGCGTCGCAAGGCAGAACAGGAGAAGAACAAACCTCTCAACGCAGCAGCTCAGAGCCACGATAATCCGGCTGAGAATGACGAGTTGGACCTCATCGGTGGAACAACAGAAGATGACTTCACGGAAGCAATGGCACATATTCGTGAACGGGAATTGCTGTATGGCGAGAACTCATTGCTGTCAAATTTCGGGCCATTGGTTGCAGAGATCTGCGCAAACAACAACACCTACTCTGAGCGCAATCTTCAAGCAGCGGCAACTATATGCATGGCCAAGTTGATGTGTGTCTCTGCCGAGTATTGTGAGAAGAACCTTCCCCTCCTGATCACCATAATGGAACGCTCCGAAGACCCCATCGTCCGGAGTAATGCAGTCATTGCTCTTGGTGATATGGCGGTGTGCTTCAATCATTTGATTGACGAGAACACGGACTTTCTCTATCGGCGGCTTAACGATGATGACGCTTCTGTCAAGCGCACTTGCCTGATGACGCTCACGTTCCTTATCCTAGCGGGACAAGTCAAGGTTAAGGGACAACTGGGCGAGATGGCAAAATGCTTGGAAGACGATGACAAAAGAATTGCTGATTTGTCCCGCATGTTCTTTACAGAGTTGGCAGGCAAGGACAATGCTGTTTACAACCACTTCGTTGACATGTTCAGTCTCCTAAGCGCTGAGCGCAATCTGGAAGAAGGAGCACTCAGGCGCATTATAAAGTTCCTGATAGGTTTTATTGAAAAGGTGGGTTCATGTCTATTACAAGAAGACAACTCACTCCACTCAGTAACTCGTCACTAACAAGGCTTGATTTACAGGAGAAACATGCTCGTCAGCTAGCAGAGAAACTAGCCGCTCGACTTCCAAGATGCGAAACCGAACGGCAGTGGAATGATGTCGCATACACACTGTCTCTTCTACCTCATAAGAATGAGGAAATCGCAAAAACGGTGGCCGGCGGTTTCAACAAAGTTGTCAACACGGCGGCTGCATAGGGCAGTTTCTCGAGAGCGCACGATGAACTTTGAATGACCGTCTTCGTTTTCTCTTTTGGAAGGTTGGGTATGTTCATTACATGGGTGACATAGGTGACATGGATGGCGCAGTTTGGGCGGGCTTACGACCGGATAATGGGGCTTGATGAGTAGCATTGCGGTGATCTTTTTGCGTTAGCTAACTTCTCGATGTTTAAAATTTAATATACTGTAGCAGGTTTGGAAACTTAGCAGCTCTTATCCTGGCAAGTCCCCAATCTTTGCATTTCTATTATTGTACATTACAGTTGATAATGAGATTCAACAGTATTGGCGGGAAACATAGTTCAAGTGCATTTGGAGATCAAGAGAGGCCCTGCCACTTGCGTCAACAACGCGAAGTCTAAGATACTTCCAGAAAGGCCTCGAGCCAACACGTAGAAAACGAACGAAATCCTGCTGTGCACGGGCCGGGAAGATAAGAGGCGGACAATAGAAAGGTGAATTTGAAAAGCGCAGGTCCAAGTATTAGAAACTCTAGTGTGTCGAAATCAGGCACTGTAGAAAAGTCCTAGGTACCCTTCGAATGAATGCCATCCAGTTTAAGCGCCTTTTATCTTGCTCTCTTCAAGCTGGTACTGTTGGGCGCGAATACCCTCGAGTGCCTTCAGGCCTTCCTCGCTTAGAGATGGTTTTCCCAAAGGCGTGACGGCGCCTGTGAAGAAGCGTGGCTTCCATTCCTCATTATTCTCTTGTCGTTCAGCGGCCTTCTGCCGTTGTCGATCCTCAATCTCCACCTTGAGCTTGGTGGCTTGACTATATCTCTTGTTCAAGATTGCCTCGGTTACACCGGACCAAAACTTTCGAGATTCGTTGGACAGCTGTGTTTCCTCCGGGGGTAAAGTCTTCGAGATAGGAAAAAGGGGTGTGATGTCAATCAAAAGTCGAGGCTCATTTGTCCCCGCTAGAGTATAGTACATTTGTCCATGCCAAGATCCTGAAATTTTGGCAAGGACGTCGCCTTCCGGGACATCTTTCGTCCTGGTAATTGTGTCCTTATCTGGGTCGTATCGGAAAATAAGCCCTTCAACCTTGTTTTGAGCTCGGCTTATCCACCCTTCTTCTAGGTATTGCAGGATCACTTTGATTCCTTTTTTGGGACAAACGATGTAACATGTGTCCGCGACACTTATGGATAGCGCTCCTCTCAAAAGGCCACCGAGATGAGCAGCTGGGTGTGTCAGCTGGTATTCCTCGTTGTCCCTTTTGCTTATATTGATAAAAATTCCAAGATTGTGTTGACCGGGAGTAACACGGATGCTTGTGCCCGTAAACTTGGCACTGATTTGATCGAATCCACGAGCGGACACACCTGTCTCTGGACAGTCGATGTAGAAGGCGGACACTGGCGGATGATGTGAAGTTTGTTCAGTCAAAAAGCACACCCTAGCTGGTTTCCCGTTGTCATCTTTCACAGTTGAGGCGCCATTGACTACCCCTTGGGACGGCACGGGCAATTCGGGAAGGGTGGAGCCTACTTCCCAACTACACTGGATGTTTGAATTGCGGTCAGCGGTAGAAGGTCAGGACATTTAAGAAAGCAAGCTCACCCTGAAAAATTCACCCAGGGTTGAGTTATAAGGCTTGCATGGTTTGCCCTTGATGTATTTCTGAGTGATAGTCAGCAGGAAGGCACACTTTGTGAAAAGCAAGTGAGGACGGCAAACCAAGTCTTTCGTGAACCAGAATCGCAGAACCTCCAGCATCCGCCCCAATGGTTCATCTGATGTACCGATGCTGTAGATCCCTAGTTAGAAAGCGAGCCCGCAAGATTGGTGAATAGGCTATATTGCTGACCTTGCGAAGGTCTCTGGTCTGTCCAAGTAATTCCAATATTCTGGTGAATCAAAGCCCAGTCAACAGTCTGTCCGGAGCACTACCCGCCAATACCGAAGGTTAAACAACCTACCCAGATTGGGAGTTGGCTCCAAAAGCTGCGCGGGCAGGGAGAACCTCACGGATGCAATATCGCTCACGCCAACGAACCTGCACAGATAAACGTTAGAGCTAAGAACCGGTCATGGACTTCTCATGAGATAAGCGTGAGGGCACGTACTTTCGAAGTATTGATAAAAACGTCTTCAGCTTCGAGGATTCGTCGGGGGCCTTTTCAGGCAGGTCGGGCGTTGAAGAAGACATGGTGGCTCTAGTAGTTCCGGGGGTGTTCAACAAAGGAAACCTGAAAGATCTAGCGGTACACCGGCTCCTACAAGCTCAAGCGGGCGGATAAGTGGGAATATTCCCCAGGCTAACTTTGGCGTGAACTTTGGCGTCCAGACGCCAAAGTCTGAAGGTTACTGTATAGGGTGTAGAACCAGAGACCAACACAGCAGCGGGCGTAACGATCTCCCGCCGGTTCGAGAGTGGCAACAAGCGAGAACAGGTGAACAATCGTCTCCAGCAGCACCGAGGCAAGTATTAGGAGAAAGCCAACGTTAACGCGAATCGCTGAGACGAAGCGGCCGGTTTGGGGAGCAGGCGGTGACGTCTTGGTCGGTCAACGTTCCGGTTCTCCAGGTCTACCTTACTCCTTAACGTCACCGACAATGACAGGAAACGGAATATCTACATATGCGAAATGGCCATTTAGGACACGGGTGGTTCAAAGCGGGGGTTTAAGATCAAGGCCAAGGCGCTCTAAAGGTCTTTGTTTCGGGCGGCCTTGTAGGCTGCTACTTTTCCATTACCTCGAAAGGAAGCTCATCCAATCCGTACATCACGACGGCTTCCCACCCTTCATCCCTGGCCAGATACAGCGGTCTCTCTCCCTGATTTGCAGATACGTTCACTTCAGTCTTCAACGCACATACTGCTGCGACTAAGGTAATCACTTTAAGTAGACCATTGCGATATGGGAATCAGGTCTTCAACAATCCGCTTGCGTGCCAAGAGACGTAGCCATGTCCTTATTGCTGGCCCGTAGTCATACCTTCTTCCTTCAGCATACTCGTCATCCGCCCGATGCAGCTGCTGTTTATCTCGAATTTCTATCCGAAGTTTTTCCTGCGCGCTGCTCATGTCTGCGCAGTGTTTCGCAAGCTCGTCCGTTGAATAACTCAAATACTCTTCTGCTTTTCCCGGTGCAATAACTGCTCCGTTGAGAACCCTTTCTGTCACTCCGTAGGACCCATCCAAGCCCAAGAGCGTGTTTTCGGCAAGAAATGGCATGATTTGCGGTCCGCTACCACTTTCTTTCGGTTCACGTGAAGTTATGGTCCTCTCAGCCAACTGCAGCTGTTTGATATTCATAGCCAGTTGTTCGACAAGGTTGGGTAAAGGGTCTCGACCAAAGCTCAGAACTGAGAATGCGATCTGGCCTTCGTCGTACTCGGCCATTCTTGCCTTGATACTCGGCTTTACCAAGCTTAACCAATTGCTTTCCGGCTCAAACACACCTATGATCTATGTTAACAACATCGCCAGCTTTTACCTGTAAAGGTCACGAACCGAGAGCTTGAGGTTGGCGCTCTAGTCCATCAAACCTCCATACTTTTCCCAAGGCAGGGACAAAAGCAATAAAATGGAATCCTGCGTCAGCCTCATGCTCCTCACGCCCACTTTTCTTTGACCGCTTCCGCTTTGAGGCCACCTCGTGTTTGAGTTGAAGGTCAGAATTCAGGATATCCATTCTCCTGTACGTGCCGTTAGAGACATTGAGATGTAAAGCTCGCACCTGCCAGCATACCTAGCGAAAGAGTTATGGATTCTTTTGACGAATTCAAAGTTATTTATCGCGTCTCCTCTGAGTGCAGGTGTAAACGGCATAGTGAAGTCTTTAAAACTCCGAAGATTCTCCCCAAGATCAGCGCCTTCGATATTGTTGACGATGTTTAGAAGAGCAACGGTGGCACATGCATTGCTCGCCGTCTAAGTAGGATAAGCGCCGTACGTCAACAGATTCGCGAAGATAGAGCCGAGGAAACGAACCTGATTTGCAAACCATAGACCTTCAGGGCAGCTTGCCTCCTGCTTCTCCGGATCGTCTTCTCTCCAGCGAAACAAGAATATAATGCCGTAGACGGGTTTACTGTACAGCATCGCACGTGTTAGTACACAATCTCTAAGCTGTGGTTAAAGTTCCCTGACTTCAAAGTATCCAGATACTTCTCCTCTAATGACAGAACTTCTTGAACTTGAACGCCTGTTACTCCAAATTCGCGGAGCATCACATTGAAAATAGCCTTTGAACATGAGTATGGTAGGGACCGACACAGTTCAAGGGGATACGCATACCGGCTCCGATTCTAGCTCACAGAAGCCATTCCAGGACTCTTTCTCGCCTTCAAAAGTAGCGCGTTGAGAGTTAATCCTCCCATTTATGCTATTCGTCGGATTGTTCACCTTTCTTCGTTTCACGCGTTCGCTCATAGTCGCGCCTTGAAAAGAGTAAGCAGATAACCTGACCAAGTTGAAAGAAGGTGGCCCGCGCGAAGTTAGATGAAATATCCTGTCGGGTGAAGTTGGTCTTGCTAAGCGCGGTTGCTCAGACACAAGGATGCACTAAGTAGCACGAGCTCACTCTGAGCGCGTCAGCTGGTTTCCGCACACTCTTGTGTGGTAAGGGATATAGACGCCGGTTCTTCATTTGAGTTTCCACAGTTAAGGGGAATTCAAAGAAGCAGAAATACAGGACGCCGGAAACTACAGCTAAGGTGTGCATGTCAGAGCTGTGGTGGTGAGCTCCCCAGAGGCTAGTCCCGATTTGGAATGCTCGTGTCAAAGCATCCCTGAAAATATCGATCACTTAACAACTATCCCAGAGTACACCTACATCAACACCGGGATTGAACCCAACACGCTGAATCTGTTGCAGGCAAGCTATACATCGGTCTTTGTTTAACTCGCCCCAGAAACCGACCAGCCTACCCTCGACGATTCTCGATTTTGGCCTTTCACAGCACTACATCGTCGCCCGCGGAAGTCCGCGACCACAGCATGCTATGAGCGACACTCCCCGGCTTCGCTCCGCGTTCCCTTCAACGCCTCGGACAACACAAAGAACGAGAGAGTACAATATTTCAAGTTCAAGATCTACCTCGCAAAATGCTCCGCCTCCCAAGCCATTTCCGAAGACGCCGTCCGCCGACCAGGATGCGAGTTCATCGCTCGTTCCGTCTAGTATAGTTGATCCCCCAACGCAACGACTATACGTGGCGGCTGCCTACGTGGCGCTCAATGCGTGGCGGGTCTATGAGGCTTGGACGGCCTCTGACGACTTAGATTCCACCTGGCTGTTTTTGAAATGGGCCTCCATAGATGGTGTCTTTCTCTTCGGTCTCCAGGCCTTGCGCATTCCCTGGTTGGAATGGGCTTTCCCGACGACGCTTGCGGTCTTTCTGGTTCACGTCGTCTTCAATGTTTTTCTGATGTTTCGCATCCCGGTATGTGCTATTTCAAGATGAGCCCGGCCAACATTGACTGACGCCTCCTAGATTCCTATCGGCATTTGGCTATCTGGCGCGGTGAGACTGGCCTATGATCGAGAACTCTCGATTTCAGGACAAAGCATCAAACCTGGCGACATAATAAACAACGCATCCCTCATCCTTGGAAAACAAATAGTCAATATTCTCCCTGAAGGGTAGGCCCCCCCTTGGTTTCCGCTTATCCTCCTGTTAATATAGAATGCAGGTCAGCCGTCTTGAACCCAGAATTGGTACCGCTTTGCCTAGATTCTCAGAGACCAACTATTGAGTTGCCTATCCGCGTGAATCAAACGGATCCTATCTTGATTGAGCTGCTGCGCCTCGACTTCAACAATGGTGACACTGAAATCATTTCAATACCAGCGAAGCAATTGAAGCAATTGAAACGGCAGGCAGACAAGAGGCATTCCCAATCAACTAGTGGTCTACACCGTGATCTCCTCTTGCCAGTGCGAAAACCAGGATTATATCGTCTACAGCGTGTCGTGGATGAGTCTAAACTTGAGGTCCGCGTGCGAGCTTCGGATTCCATCGTCACTATATGCCCTCGCGCATTGATCAAAAACTCGTATACACATAAGTGCCGGGGCGAGCTCTCAAATTTGGTGCTGGCCGTGGAAGGTACACCGCCTTTGAAAATCAAGTACAGCAGGCAGGTGAACGATCACGACCGGGGCTTCTCATTTCAGAACATCCAACCAGACCATTTACGCACCCCACTTCTAGGCCACAGGTCCCTTGGCCGGTTGTTTGATGCACGGGAGCCGGAGATCAGCTGGGCTCAGAGCCAAGTGATTGAAATTCCTCTCAATGAATCTTTAAACATCGGTGGTGATTGGCTCTACATGATCGAGGAGGTTCACGATGGCTCCGGCAATGTTGCGAATTATTCCATGTTTCTGGAGGATTTTGATCGCCAGTCCACAAAGCCTCTAGCTCAGTGGCATCAATTTTCTGTTCATGAAATCCCCAGGCTATCTCTTTCTGGGTGCAACGATCAGCACTTTCTTGAAGTCGCACGTGGGGAGAGCCTCCCGCTCCCCGTCAAGTTCCACAGCTCAGACCATGGGTATGAGAATGATGGGCCTTTCTCTTTGATTTACTCCTTTAGTCTCGACGGCCAAGGGAGCGTGGACGATCCTGCTCGTACTATCCGCCAGCTATCGCTGAAAACGGTTGATCAAAAGTCTATGATTAAGGAACCAGGATGGTATAGTCTGCAATATGTCTCTAGCCAGTTCTGCTCGGGCGAAATCTTTGAGCCCTCGTCTTGCTATTTGCATAACCCACCAGAACCAGAGCTTTCAATTCGCTCCGAGAAAATCTTTGATAAATGCGCGAATAGTCCCGTGGGATTGCTTGTCGACCTGGACCTTACGGGCTCGCCGCCGTTCCGAATCAGGTACGCTATTGAGACCTCTAAAGGCGTTGAGACCAAACACCAAGTCATCGATGGGTTACGCGCACAGTTGGACTTCACCCCATCGGAAGCCGGGCATTATCGATACCGCTTCCTGGATATTTCTGACAGTGTATACGCACCTCGACCTTTGGAGAACAAGGTGACTGTTCTAGAACAAGACGTTAAACCCCCCGCCTCTGCACATTTTGTAGGTACACCGGAGGTACGCAAGGCTTGTTTTGGTGAACCTATTTCCGTGGATGTCGCTTTCCTTGGAGAGGCACCGTGGACTTTGCAATACGAGCTTGTCCACAATGGCAAAAAGACAAAACATGTTCTCGAATCCGAGAGTGCGAGGTGTACGATTGTTACGGACAAACTCGTGAGCGGCGGCGGGTATAACCTCGTATTGACAAGCGTGAAAGACCGCTCTAAATGCAAGCGTAATCTCAATGAGATCCTGAAGATTGACGCCAGGTCCAAGCCACCCCAAGTTTCCTTCGGTCATATCGAGAAGAGCAGAAAGTACTCGGCGCTGCAAGACTCCAAAGTCGACTTACCAATTAGGCTCAGCGGTGAACGGCCCTGGACTTTACAGTACAAGAATCTGGACGCAGATGCTTCGATAGCGACAAAGACTTTCTGGCATGAGAATAGTTTCTTGACTGTCAGTCAAGAAGGACGTTACGAGCTCTTGGGGGTGACGGATAGCTCTTGTCCCGGATCCGTTGACCAGGCAGCGAAAGTTTTTGAAGTATCTTGGATTCCCAGACCCCAGATCACTGCTGTGGATGATACGCCTGTGGGACCCGATGGTCTAGTTGCCAAGAGCGACATCTGCCAGGGACAAGGAGACAGTCTTGAGCTTCGGCTGACGGGCAATCCGCCTTACACGATCCAATGCGAGCAACAAAGGAAAGTGATTCGGGGCTCTACTTCCGTGCGAGTACGAAGTCTCAAAACAGCGTTGCATGCTCTTTCCATGGAATTGGAAACATCCGAGCCCGGTGATTACACATATCGATTCAAGGAGGTTGGTGATTACCTTTACAATAATGATCCGAGAAGCAACCAAGTCGTGGTCACTCAACGGGTTAACCCTCTTCCTTCTGCGCGCTTTGATGCCCCGGGTCGCATTTACGGCTTTTGCAAGGAAGACGACAGTGGCGAGGAGCTTATTCCTCTCACCATGGAAGGTGTGCCACCCTTCTCGCTCGAAATCTCAATCAAACATTACGCCAAGGCAAAGCCAGAGATCGTGTCCATTCCGAACATCAAATCGAATCGGCACAGCCTTCCAATTCCCAGGCGCCATCTCGACTTAGGCCAACATGTTGTTAGTATTCACAAAGTGAGAGACGCGCGAGGGTGCGAGAAAACCTACCACACAGACCTATCGTCAGTCAGGGTTGCTGTATCAGACGTGCCTACGATCATTCCGCTCGAGTCAAAGTCCGACTACTGTGTCGGCGAACGTCTTTCCTTTTCATTATCAGGCCATTCTCCTTTTGAGGTGTTTTACACATTTAATGGCGTCTCCAGAAAGGCTTCTTCCCAAACCAATCAGTTCCGCCGTATCGCGGAGAAACCCGGCGTCTTTATGATTACTGCCGTCAGTGATGGCGCAAGTGGGAAATGCAAGGCTCACAAAGACATTATGAAAACCATTCACCAAATGCCAAGCGTCAGAATCAGCAATGGTCAAATTTCCATTGTAGACATCCATGAGGGTGGTGAGGCAGAACTCGAATTCGAGTTTTGGGGAACGCCACCATTCGAGTTTACGTATGTAGCCCTTCATATGTCCCTCTTAACTCAACGCAAATTGGTCGATCTAATTCAATCCTTTAGTTACATTCGAAGCACGAATGCCCGCAAAGGGAAGAAGGCCGAAATACTCGATATAAAACATGACATCTCTTACGAACATCAAAAAATCATCAAAACATCTGACGAGGGTACTTACGAAGTTGTGGCCATCAAAGACAAATACTGCTCATTTTCCGCTCAACCGTCAATGGAGAGGAACGAGAAGCTACTAACGAATTCTTGAATGCTCTAAAAGGTTAGCGTGTATTCAGTTTCTTCGCCTGGCTCTTTTCTCTTCGACGTTTCCCTTTTCTCTTCGGGTATTGTCTTGTTCGGAATGTATATAGCATTGCAACGGCGCTTCAAGGTACTCGTTTTACATGACAATGAATGCACAACGACTAATTTTTATAATCAAATATATTTATCTTCACTTCTTATGGACGTCGACACGAGAAATCATGTCCGCGCCCAGCCTAGAGATCTCATTCAAAATGGCCGTACGGTTGATAGAAACGCTGATGTCCGAAGCAGAGCCACTTGACCCTTCGGGTAACGTGGAATATGCAAGACCCAAACTCCAGTTCTTCGGTTTCAATGTCTGCGGATTCCAGAGCCCGGCAATGATATCCGATTGCTCGCGTCCCCAGAAAAAGAGGATATTTGGACTGAAGCAAGCCTGCAGATCACGAAAAAAATCGTTAATCACGGTGTGTTTCTTTGGTCGAGCAGGATCTCTCGGTGTGCTGAGGTTCTTGAATTTCGCTACCGAGGCTGATCGTTCAAGCAGTAGCTTCGGGCGCAAGTGGATAACGAAATCATAAGGTTCGAGCGCTGGAAGGAACAGCTGTGTCGCATCGAGTTCAGGCCCTTGTTCTCGTACAACCTTCATCACAGCTTTGGCGAGTGTGCAGATTCGCGCGGCCACTACTTTTGGAGGCATTCCGTACTGTGTCCATGTTACACCGTCAGGGTCAAGGTCTGAGCCGACAAACATGGAAACGCTATTCATTGCTGGGTCGATGCTTCGCCATGCGGCGAAACGTGTCTGAATGGTTTCGATTGTGCCCTGGTCGAGTTCGCCGCCTAGATCAACGACCAGCGGCTCCTGCTGCCAATTCCATTGTGAGATTGAGTGCAATGTTCTCAAGAAGCCAGTCATTGCACTTGACGGGGTCTCCCAAGGGTGTGGTCGAGTAAATGCCCGTACAGCCATGAGCTCGATTAGCTCTTCGTTAACGTGCGCGTCGAAGAGGTGAGAACTAAACCAGTATTTGAGAAGCCGTATAGTAGGAGATAGAAGTGGAAGACGAGTGCATAGCGTCCTGATCGCCTGCGACAGGCGAGGACAATGAATGAAAAGTCGCTTGTACGCAGAAAGCGCATACGCAATCTCCTGTTTCACTTGCGGACTCCCACCTTGCTCTTTAACTCCACGTTCAAGCAGTATTTGCTCTCGATCGTGATGGATTCGAAGGCGAAACACGGTTCCAGACACATGAGTGATGTCTAAAAAGGCGTTGTTGAGTATTTTGCTCTGTTGATTCTCCAATCCAACTTGCGCCGAGGAGAAGTCACTAGATTCGGTCAATGCGTCGCCTATTTTCACAAGGAAAGCAACTTTCGTCATCTGAATAGCTACAAGGTCGTCTGGCCAACGCGCGGAGCTCTCAAATTGCAGCACAACGTCGACAGGACCAGTGCCATCGTTTCGATCTACACGCAACGACGTGTATCTAAGTAACGAACTGGCTGGTGCTAGATGCCTCACAGTTAAGGGAACTCCTTCCATTGTCTGGACGGTTTTCTCCAAAGTATTAAACGCATCACTGATGAGCTGGAAAGCAGAGTCAGAATATGACACTACTCCATCGCCGTTGTTCTGAAGCTGTTCATCGAACCCGTCCCCAACGTAGCCTATGTCATTCTCGCAACAATGAAAGTGACGTTTCAGGATATGGAGAAGGATCTGATGCACGATCGACGAGGATGAATCTTCGGACCACACTAGACTCTCGCGGACGCTACCGTCTTTGAAGCGCCTGAGCTCAGCTTTCTCGCCCCAAAATGCACGAAACGACGAAGCTGCTTCCCTCTCCTCCGCAGACGGGCCATGATCAACCACGCGCGTGGCATTCTCGGGATTCAGGAGCAGACCCACAGACAGGCGTCGTGCCGTTGCTTTTCGATGGCCTTTAGATTCCACAGACCAGGAGTTAGCAGGAGGCGTGGAAATGTATACGAGATCGACCCTATCTCCCAAAGCTTTCACAAGCACTTCGTAAATTTCATGTTCTTTGCGGAATGCTGCGACAGCATCATTTTCTGCGATTGGGAGTGTGAGAAGCCGATCGAATTTGAGTAAAGGTTCATCAATCTTCAGAATAAAGACCTTCTCAAAATTATCGTCTCGGGACTCGTTTAACATTCTGAGCGTGGTTCCTGCTTCGCGGCGAAGAAAGTTGTATGACCATGGGGTCATCTTGTAAAGAACATTCAATCCAGTTTTGCCGTCATAGATCACAGGGCCTTTGCTTGGAAATGAGACGTCGGACGCAGAAAGCAACAGAGGCTCTGTCAGGTCCCTGCCATTGAGGAATTGCACAGTCGCTTTGAATAGCTGATAACTGCTATACGATTTCAGGAGAACTGGCTTCCCATTGGGGCCTCCCGATTCCAATAAAAAGGACAGGAGCACCGACCATTCAAACCCCCCAAACCCGCCCTTGCGCGAAGAAGAGCCAAATCCACGTTGCTTGAGCCATATGCGGCCAAGAAGACAGGCATCCTTGAAGGATTCACAGCTTTGAGCAGCTGAAAATAAAGCTTTGTGATAGAGAGACACAGTGGCTTCTGAACGGAGGCACGAATTGTAAAATGGAGTCGGCTCGTTCTTGCTTTCTCCTTCTGAGCCGTGTCTTATGTTATTCCTCATGGGAAGGGTGCGGGAGATTGGGAAAAGGGTGTCTTCAACTGCTGTGATGATGCGGATCTGGAATTTCGGACGTCCCTGTCCAGATTTCGCGGTTGAGGGATGTAGTAATATGATGGGGCGAAGTGCATCCCCATCCTGGCAATCGAACATCATATCAAGGCCTGCATTCTTTTGGCCTCTGATTCCAGCAGCAATGCATGCCACATAATACGCTCGTTTGTGGAAGTACCGATAGTTGGTGTAGTCTTTTTCCTGAAAGATCGAACTTGGCATAGTCACGGACAAGTCAACAATGTACGGCGCCACCGTTTTCGAGGCAGTCCTGAGTGCGAAGCTTCCAACCACGTTGACGTTCGCGGGTGGGGCAAACACAACTCTATACTTGGTATCCTTCCCAGGACGCGGTTCAGGGTAAGGAACAGTAACGCCATGCAACTGACGCATCTCTTTCTCAGCTTCCAACGCCGGTTTGGCTGGTATTTTTGGCAGGTTCTCAATCAAATCCTTCAGATCATGGAGAGTGTCTTTGACCGTCGCGAGCTGTTTGTCGTAGAAAGGCCTTGACTCGGAGACCAAGTCGTCCAGCTGCATTTTGAAAAAGCTTGACTTAGAAGATCCGCTGACAAGCGCCATTTCGGTGGCACCAGCATTTCCAATGGGTCTGGTTGGCTTCAAGGTGCCGGGCTGCTTCATAGCATCGATTTTGGTCGGCTGGTTTGCGCTGCATTCCGGTGCTGGGAATGTTGAGTGTTCAACACGAGTGACTCCACCAGGAGGAGAACTCAGTTTCCTTCGCTTGACGGCGTGACTAGACATCTCGGGGGTGGTCTACGAGCCTAGAAGAGGTAAGCCGTGAAGCCCTGCGCTCCGAAGTCTCTAAACTTTTTTCTGCGGTAGTCGAAGGCTCCGGCGATAACGTCACGTGGAACCGCGATACCATAGCGCCACGTGACTGATTACGCTTTGACAGCATCCGATTCCGAGATCGCTGAGTACCGCTTTCAAATTAAAGCTTCGAAATAAACCTAGTAGACCACCGTCGGCTATTCTAGGGCGCCTGTTCATCCAAACCAGTGCGATTATTACCAACTTGCTCACCCTCAAAACTAGCTGGATCTGAACCCCAGAAACACTATGAACATCGCTTGAGCGAACTATGACTCCGAACTATGACTCCGAAGCATTAGGTACCTAGGCCTAGAGATAATTGGCCGGCTGCCTCCACGCTCTTTCCGAGATCGCTGGCTGCTTTATAATTTCCGTTCACTCGCAACTCTCCTTGAAACTCAATTCTTACCGTACTCCTTTTTCTAGATGCAATTGCACCCAGTTGTTCTTTAATACTAGTGTTATTTTTTGACAGCATGTTTCAGGAGACCGGTGGCTCGGTTCCACCCAACACAGATCATGTATGTATATGCCCCGCGTACCCCGCGTACAGCCATTACCCTCGCAATTCCCTGTGTACTTCGTGCGCAAGATTCATACTTGCTAATTGATGCTACCTAGGCCGTGAGTGTGTCACTTCCGACCTGGGAAGCGAATGTAGCGTATGAAGAAGGGGAGCTGTGGGTTTTAAATAAGATGCAATGTGGTTATCCTCGATTCTTCGTCCACCCCATCATCCAGGAACTCGCCAAGGAGATTGTGTCTAGGCTTGGAAGTCCGGACCAAGAAACAGCGACTGTTTTCCCATCTTCGAACACTGCACGAGTGTGTCACTCATTCATTTTGTCGAAGATTTCGCCTGAAGAAGCATATAAGATCCGGGTCCTCGACTTTGTCCCTACCAAGCAACTGGAAAGTGAGCTGAGCACTATCAAGTCGCTTTTGTCTTGTGTCGTATATCCTAAGGAGTATGCGAAAGTTGCCAAACAAGCGTGGCAGCACACTGGCGACGGCGTCTCGAGTCGACGAGGCGAATTCTGTCTTGGTGCCTTGAAGGACGGTCTCCTTGTGGAAAAGAAAAATGCTGCAGCGGACGCGACAGCTCAGGTAATCCATAAAGGTCCACGACGATATCAGGGACGAGGCTCAATGAACGGGGTAGGGCAAGGTGCATTGCACGGGGCAACGTCAGCCAACCAGCCTCAAGAAGGCCTAGAATCAGTCCAGTTTATTGAAGAACGTTTCGGACGAAACTTGAGTACATCACTGGCTAGTCAGGCAAAGATCGCTGTACGCAGGCGAATAGCAGGTGTCTTGACCGCAGATGTGGACTTGAGTGAGGCTCTAGAGAAAACATCACAGGAGGGGAGAGTGGCAGGGCTCTCTGAGTCCGATGTCTTCCTCTTTCCCAGTGGCATGAGCTCAATTTTCAACTCCCATCGGCTACTCCTCGAAGCGAAAGGTTCCATGAAAAGCGTCTGTTTCGGATTTCCATACATTGATACCCTGAAAATTCTTGAAAAATGGGGTCCAGGCTGTGTGTTTTACGGCCGAGGGTCATGTGAGGATCTGGATGATTTGGAGTCGCGGTTGGCTGCTGGAGAGAGGTTCCTGGGTCTCTTCACAGAATTCCCAGGCAATCCCCTACTCAAAGCTCCCGACCTTAAGCGAATTCGAGCCCTAGCAGACAAGTATGATTTTGCCGTGGTTGTTGACGAAACGGTCGGCAACTTCCTCAATATCAACGTGCTCTCTCACGCGGATGTCGTGGTTAGCAGTCTGACGAAAATATTCAGCGGAGACAGTAATGTCATGGGAGGAAGTGCGGTGCTTAATCCACACGGCAGGTACTATCAAATATTGAAAGATACGTTCAGCCGGGGGTACGAAGACAACCTATGGGTAGAAGATGCCGTCTTCCTTGAAAGAAATAGTCGTGACTTTGTTTTTCGCATCGAAAAGATCAATCACACAACAGAGGTGATAACAGCATTGCTCAAAAAATCTCCACTTGGTAGGCCACCTTCTTTCTACTGAATCAGAATTTGTTCTAACCCTAATGCAGTCAAAAATGTGTATTATCCTAAATTCAGTCCTACATTGTCCTTGTACGAGGCGTTCCGCACTCCGAACGGAGGTTATGGTGGTCTGTTTTCTGTCACTTTCCATTCCACGACAGAGGCGATCGCCTTCTTCGACAATCTGGAAGTTCTGAAAGGCCCTAGTCTTGGAACTAACTTTACACTAAGGTAGGACTCACGTTTGAAGTAATGTTGTTGTCCTCGTACGAATTGCTTATCCTTGTTTTAGTTCTCCATATACACTGCTTGCTCACTACGGCGAGCTCGAATGGGTACGTATCCAATTTGTTCTTTACGGCAACTTTGTCCCGATTATGTCTAACCCTTATTGCTCAGGCAAGTTCGTTTGGTGTAGAGTTTGACTTGGTGAGGGTAAGCGTTGGCTTGGAAGATGTATCAGTGCTTCGAACTAAGGTGCAACAAGCACTTGATGCAGTTGCTGCGATATCCGAGTAGATAACAAATGCCTACAATCCATTCCGCATTACAGGGTGCACCATCACTTAATTAGAATAGCTATGGTTATCAGTCGACTACACGTCCCCTTCAAGTTAGTCGTGGGGTTCAAACAATGATCAGGGATACAGGGATGTCAAAAGAAAAAATTATGAGCAAAACAAACTTACTATATAGAGTAATAAGGTCAAGGATATGGAATGACAGAGCCCACGGGGTTATTGCAAGAGATAATCATGCAAACAATTATACGTTGTTTGGGATAGGACAAAAGCAGAAAAACTTCAGAAATGGTCGGGTATAAGATTCAATCATAGGCACCCATTGTATTCGGCAGTTGGTTCCGGAATGCGCCTAGGTCTCCGCTCCCCGTTCGCCGTAAGGCCTGGCCCATGGTTTCAATGTTTAAGTCACCACCAAAGCTGGGAGAAGCTGGTCTTTGAGCAGCAAAAAGCGGACTCTCAGCACCTCGTACACCTCGATTTGGAGAAAGCTCCAGCCCATTAAAAGACGCTGAGATGCTCGTCGGCGGTGAAGTCCCAAACCCATGAGAAGATGTTGGTGAGTGCAACGACGACGGGGACATGTTGCGATACGCTCTGGCAGACGGATTGGGACTGCCCGAGGCCCTGTGGCAAGACTCGTTGCTCAGCGGGTACTCAGATGTTTCGGCATTCTCAGCATTTATGACATCGGCAAAAGAGATAAAGCTTAAGCGACGTATATCATTTGCTTCGAGACCTTGATTAGCCGTTGGGATCTCTTCAGAATCATCAATGTTCATTGCACTGTTGGATGAATGTGATTGCAAGGGATGTTCTGCATGGAACGCAGCCGTGGCAGGATGATGTATGTTACGAGTAATAATCTCAACTGATTCAGGGTCGAGCCCGTTGTCCGTGATTGCCGCCGAGGATGCTTCCAGGACCGGAGGAATGTGGTTCTCTGTTCTAATATGGGACGGAATCGACGGCGACGTCTGGGGTAACAGAATATCTTCCTGCACACTGCGTTCAAATATCAAGGACGCGGGTGAATTTGCCTGTAAAGGAGATCGTTGGGCTGTTCGCCCTGGCGATGGTGGAGTTCGGTGCGGGGTCCTTCCTCGTGGTGACGAGATTGAGCTATTGCTCGGAGAGAGTGTCAATAGCTTCGGGCGGGTAACACCAGGAGTCATTGTTGAATGCGAATCGTAGGTCATCCCCATAGCAGACTCCTGACCTTCATTTTCAATTTCCCCTGCCACATAACTGCAGCGCCGACGGCGGACCATTCGTGATGGTTTTATGTGCTCGATATTGGCTTCAATATGTGTCGCAGTACCGGAAATTGTGTCCATGACTGTGGTCGCATTTTGAGCTTTCTGAGCCCCCGCGCTGTCGCTGAGGCTTCTGGTCTCCATGGTCTCTTCCAAGGTCAAGCGCCTAGATTCTCAGTTCAGGGGTTTGGGTATGCGATGTGTAGATGCGCTTGACAGTCAAGGCATACAACTGTAAGCAAAGAATCCGTTTGTCAGATATCGGTCGTATAGCATCCGCTTATCGAGATTAGGATTCAAGTTCTTGGCCGTTCGCTTAAGCCGTGAGCGCAAGGCTAAATGGAGTCTTGACTCTTGAGATATCAGGTCATGAACAATCCACGACCTACGTCGGCATTATGCTGATAACTCGTGAGTGACGAATGCACGAGGCTCACGCAATGACCATAAAAAAGCTTCTAACGCTCATCAATCGGTTAGATAGATTGAAAGTTGATGAGAATATATCAAATGCGGAGGTTCGAAATAAGAGCACTTGTTGAATTCAAAAGCGTGAACGGAGAATCAGAACAGAAGGGAACTAGCTATATGCGTGTATGTTATCAGTATGGCAGGTATGGACTCGGAAAATATAAGTCGAGCATAAGGAGTCGGCGAATGTGTACTGAGATGAATAAGACTCATCTCGAATCGGCCGAAGAACGGGATGAGTTGCATTGTATCTAGTAGTACTCCTTAGTAGTGAGAAGCTGGTGTGAACACATGACACCTGCCAAGAGTATGTACCCTAGGTTTTGGAAACCCGCCAAGGTGCATAATTGCATTTATGTCAAGCTGACAAATTATCGACAGACCTACCGTCGATTTTTGGCACGGAAAAGTCAACTAATCTTGCCAGCATCTTGTGCCGGCGCGAGCGTCTCGAGGACTCACGCGCTTCAAGCAAGCAACGCCTTGAATACGTGTATCGCTACGACTCCAGGTGCTTTTTGTCCCACGTTGTTGCCCTCGCATCCCCTCAATCTGTTGTACTAACTGCGTGTTCTTTGAGGTGGTCTGCTTTCCTTGGGTTCGGTCAGCCTACATTCTCTGCTTCTTGCGGCGTTTTTGTTACAATAATTCGAGGCGAACCGTTGAAATGGCGACCTTCATTACCGTTTCCAGACGTCCCATTATGGGTATGCCTTTTGGTATACCTTTTCTTCTGCCTTCATACGAGCCTGTCTCTCTGGAGTCGCGTCGGAATCAATCTTCCTACAGGCGCACCAAACAACGTCTACGCATCAAGCCAGATGCTTCCTTTGGCTTGTCCTCGGATAAAAGCCACAGCCATATTGTCTACAACCCTCCGTCGAGTTCACCATCTGTGTATCACACCCCTACGAAATTCCTTCCCGCCAACGACGCTCGACGAAGTCTTCGCGCTGATAACTATGCCAATGCCCCAGCGGTTGAAGAACTCCCTTCTGTGTTCAAGTCAGAAGCGGAGAAGAAATATCATTTAACTCCGTCAGACGTAACTGAGATCCGCAAGCTCCGATTGAACGACCCGATGACTTGGAGCCGAGGCAAACTGGCGAAACGCTTCGATTGCTCTCCTTTATTTATCGCCCAAGTATGCCAGACAAGTCCACAGAAAAAGGAAATTCAGAAGCAAGTTTTAGAGGCAGTACAGTCAAGATGGGGTGCGAAGCGCCGGATGGCGAGGGAAGACCGCAAGCTGCGGAAAGAGTCTTGGGGACGAGATGAATGAGACTAGACATATGGTGGATTTTTCGTTATCCGCACTGCTCATCTTTGTTTTATAGTTTGCCCAGCGTTTTCAGAGCAGCCCATAATAATGGTGCCTTTGTAATGTAGTAGCCTTGTATTCTAAATCAACCCGTGTACTCAATCAAATTATAACATGTTCAATTTCAGATACCGAATAATTCCTAGCCAATATAAAGCAGTTCGGATCCCTGCTCCCGCGACCGAGATTCAGGGCGCTTAGATACGGAAAATTCGCGGTTGGCGGGCGTCGGGGATTGCCGTTAGGTAAACCCACCACAGGAAATGCCATGAATCCATCCAACAGGGAGAATGCCCCTCATCCTCCGCCGCATCACTTCTTCACTCAGAGATCATCGGTCATATCTTCCATTGCCTTTGGCCTTCCCCAAGCGTTATCAGGTGTTGCGATATACGGGTACTCGCCGAATTACACACCAATCATCCCCTCGCTCATTCTACGGACACATTAGTGATCACAGAATGGCGCCACAACTCGAGCCCTTTTTCAAGCAGTGCGTGGTCGGTCAACTGAAATTTGCGTGTGCAGTCTAACCATACATCGCGTTTGAAGGGTTGATGACCTGTCTGGCTCATTCATCGACCGTAAGTCTCCATCTCTGGTATCATTCTACGTGTGTGCTGACATGGCCTGAAGGTTTGCGCAAAGCTGTGGCAATTCCCTCTGTTTCTGCGCAAGATGAAAACAGGAAGGATGTCTTCAGGGTATAACCTAAATGCTTCGCTAATATTTTCATTACGCTAACCTTTGTTGTCCTTCTTAAGATGGCGGAGTTCCTTGCCTCGGAGCTCAAAGCCCTGGGAGCTGAGGTACAACAAAGGCCTCTGGGAAAACAGCCCGGAAAAGAGCATCTTGACCTTCCTCCAGTAGTCATAGCCAGGTACGGGAATGACAAAAATAAGAGAACCATTCTAGTTTACGGTCATTACGATGTGCAGCCCGCTTTGAAGGAAGACGGCTGGGCTACGGAACCCTTTGAGCTCACCGTTGACGACAAAGGGAGGATGTTTGGTCGCGGAAGCACCGATGACAAAGGTCCAGTTCTGGGCTGGCTGAATGTGATTGAGGCTCACAAGAAGGCCGGCGTTGACCTACCTGTCAACCTCCTCTGCTGCTTTGAAGGCATGGAGGAGTATGGCTCTGAGGGTCTGGAAGAGTTCATTCATTCAGAGAGCAAGGGTTTCTTCAAAGACGCAGATGCTGTGTGCATATCAGACAACTACTGGCTGGGGACCGAGAAGCCCTGCCTGACCTACGGCCTACGAGGATGCAATTATTACTCCGTCAGCGTCTCAGGTCCTGCCCAGGATCTCCATAGCGGTGTCTTTGGCGGTTCCGCGCATGAGCCGATGACAGATCTTGTTAACGTTCTGTCCAAACTTGTGGATTCTCAAGGCAACATTCTGATCCCTGGTATCATGGACCTCGTCGAGCCGGTCACGGAGGAAGAGAAGTCTCTATACACCAACATAAGTTACACAATGGAGAACCTTCACGAGTCACTGGGAAGCCAAACCGGAATTCATCCAACCAAGGAACGTACTCTCATGGCTCGCTGGAGGTTCCCATCCTTATCTATTCACGGCGTTGAGGGCGCATACTCCGCTCCCGGAGCCAAGACCGTCATCCCAGCAAAGGTCATTGGCAAGTTCTCCATTCGAACTGTACCCAACATGGAGAGCGCGGATGTGAACAAGCTTGTCTTTGATTATATCAAGTCTGAGTTCTCTAAGCTGAACAGCAAGAACACGTTGGATGTTTGGCTACAGCATGACGGAAAATGGTGGGTGGCCAGCCCTAAGCACTGGAACTTTGCGGCTGCCAGCAAAGCTGTGAAGCAAGTGTTTAGTGTAGAGCCGGATATGACTCGAGAGGGAGGAAGGTATGTGCTCAACCGGCGGTCTATCATCAAATGCTGCATGTTATGCATTTACTAACATATACTAGTATTCCGATCACTTTGACTTTCGAAGAGGCAACGGGTAAGAATGTTTTGCTCCTACCGATGGGAAGCTCAACCGATGCCGCGCATTCTATTAATGAGAAACTTGACAAGAGGAATTATATTGAAGGAATTAAGTTGCTTGGTGCTTATCTGCATTATGTTGCAGAGGAGCCCACAGATACAGCAGCTTAGACACTACCGTATATTTCGGTAAGGGACAATTGGCTCTGGAAATAGTCCGCAAACCATCAAACTACTAAAGTTTGATCTTCCATCAAGCATTCAAAGTAATCGAAGTTGAATACTCATTACTCAGCTATGGTTGGCGTAATTGTTATTGACCTGCGGCGGGAGTAAAAGTAGTCTTCTACGGACCTCACGTGAGTAGGTGCCTCCGCGACGCGCCAACGCGACTGGCTATCATTATTGGTGGTTCGTGGGGAGTCGGAACAAAGCAAAGCCAACATCAAAGCCCAGCACTATACCCCGTTCTTATGCCTTATTTCTTTCACTGGGACTCATAAAACCCATGATATGCTGGTCATTTCGGCAAGACGGCCACCACCAATCTGTTGAGATATATGACTGCCCTGCAAGCATATTATGAAGGCTCTTGACTTCGCAGTTTAATGACCTTATCATCTTTATTTGATTAAAATGTCAAATCGGAAACGCTCACAAGGCTCTCAAGGCCCTACCGACTCGGAAAGTGAAGACGACTCCTTAGAAAGTTCTTCTACTTCCCCCCAATCGGTGCGTGTCAGTGTCACTCCACTACAACTTCTGGGGCTAACATTGTAAGGCAGAGAAAACGGTCCCGTGTATCCAGTTCGCCCGAGTCTGAAGCACATGGACAAAGCCGTGAAGCTAGCGATAACGATGAAGAAACAGAGCGGGGGATCAGATCATATACCGTGGACATTGACCAGGACGAAGAGGAGCTCGAGTTACTCGCAACACAACTCATTCAAGCGAAATATTCTTTTGCCAGTGACGAGCCCAATGTGCCTTCAGAACATGGTATTCTTGAGCGAGTTGAATGCTATAACTTCATGTGTCATGATCACTTCCAAGTGGAACTCGGGCCTTTAATCAACTTCATCGTGGGCAAAAATGGCAGTGGCAAGAGTGCCGTTCTGACTGCTATAACACTATGCTTGGGTGGGAAAGCGTCAGCCACTAATCGGGGCCAGAGTCTCAAAAGCTTCATCAAAGAAGGTAAAGAGTAAGTGCTACTTCTCCCCATGAGCTTCTCAATGCTGACTCGCTAAGCTCCGCTACTATCATTGTTCGAATCAAGAACCAAGGCGACGGGGCTTATCTGCCTGACGATTATGGTAAGTCAATTATCGTGGAGCGTCATTTCTCCAAAAATGGCACGAGCAGTTTCAAAATTAAGTCGGAGAACGGGCGCATCGTCTCCACTAAAAGGGTTGAACTTGATGCTATCATTGATTACTTCACATTGCAATTTGAGAATCCTATGAATGTTTTATCGCAGGATATGGCTCGCCAATTCCTCAGCTCCTCCAGTCCGGCCGAAAAGTACAAGTTCTTTGTGAAAGGCGTTCAACTAGAACAACTCGACCAGGATTATCGACTGATTGAAGAAAACGGTGACCTGATTGAGGCGAGGATTTTGAGCAAACAGCAGGATATATCTGTTTTGAAAAAACGCAGGGACTCAGCCAAGAGGAAAATGGAGTTGTCAGATCAGCAAGAATCTCTGAGAGAACAACAGAGACACCTTCGACACCAGGCAGCATGGGCCCAGGTAGAAGAACGGGAGAAAGTATGACACGTTCTTACAATGTTCTAGTTGCAACGCTAATTCAAATAGATTAGAGACTCTTTGGTGGCCGAAGTCTCCAGCATGGACCGCAAAATAGCCGAAACTGAGGGCGAAGTTCAAAGATGCGATGCAGCTATTCAGGAGGCGGAGGCAGAAGTTGAAGCAGCCGCCGAATATTCCAGAGGGGCATCTGCTAAAGTTGACAATGCTCAAAGTGAAAAGGACGATATTCAAGCAAAATGGAAGGAGACCATGAGTGGTCAGCTTGAGCTTCAGGTACTATCAACATTCCGCGCAATCGATGGTCATCTGCTAACATCACATGAAGGCTGAACAGCGCCGAATAAAGCAGCATGTGGATGAAACAGAAGCGCGGATCAAGGAACTGCACCAAAAAATCAATCAAGAAACACAGCGGCTGGCCGATGCTCATGGTGGTGGCTATTCGCGAATGCTGGAGGAACTTGAACGAGCGAAAACAGATGCTTCAGAGGCTCGTAGAAAAATCGACGAACACGAGCAGGGCTTACGGCAGATGTACAGCGACGTCAAAGAGGCCGAAACCCAGGAAAAGGCGGCACATCAACCTATCACACAAGCCAGGCGTGAATTTGAGGAAGCTGAGGCCCTACTACATAACCTTAGCAAAGAAGGTGGCGGCAGAAACTCAGGGTTTCCGGAGAAGATGCCAGTCCTTGTTAGGGCAATCCAGCAAGAACAATCCTTCGCTGAGAAGCCTGTTGGGCCTATTGGAAGCTTAGTGACTTTGCTCAAGCCAGAATGGTCATCCATCTTGGAAAGCTCCTTTGGGGCAACGTTGAACGGTTTCATCGTTACCTCGAAACGGGATCAAAGCATCTTATCCGGAATCATGCAACGAGTTAACTGGTAGGTCGAAGCTTGTCCGGTTATCTCTCGCTGCGCTTTGCTACTAACGATGCATCCAGTTCGGTGCCAATTTTCATTGGCGGCGGTGGCTGTCTAGATACGTCACAGCATGAGCCAGATCAGCAATATGATACCGTTTTACGAGTTCTGCAGGTACGATATCGCCCATTATTAGCATGGCTTGCGATTAACGTCAGGAAATCAGTTCGATAACGAGTTGGTGCGCCGACAGTTGGTCATCAATCATGGTATAGAGCAGAACCTCCTCATTGAAAATTTAGAAAAAGCGTCGTCTGTGCTATTCGAGGGTGAAAAACCGAACAACGTCAAACGATGTTATTGTATCAACCATTCAGACAGACGCCGAGGAATCCATTTGTCCTACAATCGGGCTGGTGAGCCAAACCAGTCCCCTGTTTCAGTTTATGGTGGTAATCCGCGGATGAAGTCGGATCGCGACTCGCAAATCAGGTAAGCACCACACGTGCATCCTCCTGCTGTATACCACTCACAAAAGTGCGCCTGTGTAGAGTGCAACGCGAAGCAGTGGCCAACCTTAGAAGAGTCTTGAACAGTCGTCAAGAAGAGCTGCGCTCTGCTCAATCTCATCTCACACGCTGTAAGCAGACTCATGAACGAAACGAAAGGAGGAAAAAAGATCTTTCTGTTGATATTCAACGGAGGGATGATCATGTCGAAGAGATCGAGGAAGCGCTTCAGAAAGAGGGTAATCAGGATGGAGATCTTGAAATACTCCAGGCGTCTCTCCGAGAAGCCCAAGAGGAAAAGGGCACACATGAAGGCTCTCTCAACGATGCGAAGAACGCCCTGGCAGAAATCATGCAAGAGATGAAAAAAATCAAGAAGGAGCAAGATGCAAAGATTGTTGAAATTAATAGGCTCAAAGAAGAGCTCAGTGTTGCTGAGAGCGAGCAGCACATGATAGCTGACAAAAAACGCAAACGAATTCTTGACAAAAATGCAGCAATTGAGCTGATCGAGGATATCAATCGACGCCGAGATCGTATGAGACAGAAAAGAGATGCCGCCGATGCTGAAGTGCATGATTGTGTCACAAAGGCCAGTTTGATTTGCGAGCGTGTTGAGATTAACCAAGGCGAAACCCCTACCAGCTTGGACCGCAAACTCGAGAAAATCAGCCGAGAAATGGCCAACCACAGCCGACAGTTCGTCATTGTCCAATATCTCTTGAGTCAGTCAGGGCTAACAGGAACTTAGATTAGGTGGCAGTCGAGAGGAAATTGGCGCCGAGGTAGAAAAGACTGAACGTGATTATCAACATGCCAAAAAACAGTTGGACGAATTTGGCTTGCTTCTTCATGTACTGCCATTCTCCGGTCCTTCCATCTTCGCTAGTGCTCGTCACTAACTAGATTATGCATAGGTCCTCAAACTCTCTCTTCAGCATCGTCAACAACGCTGGCTTATTTTCAGATCGCATATCTCCTCCCGCGCCAAAGCTCAATTCACTTATCTTTTAAGTGAGAGGAGCTTCCGCGGGCGGCTTTTAGCTGACCATGAGAACAAGACTTTGGATTTACAGGTTGGTCTATAGAAATAAGCTTCTGTCAGCACGCGCTTACTCTGCAGGTTGAACCTGATATAACAAAGGACAGCAGCGAAGGACGCGGTGCGAGAACACTCTCTGGCGGGGAAAAGTCATTCTCGCAGGTTTGCCTTTTACTAGCGCTCTGGGAGGCCATGGGATCACCTATCCGCTGTTTAGATGAATTGTAAGTAGTAGATTCTTGAAAACCAACCATTGACTTTACTGACATCTCCCGCAGCGATGTTTACATGGACCACATCAACAGAAAAATGGCGATCGACATGCTTGTATGTGGCCTTGCAAATTGTCCAGTGAACTAATTTCGCTAAGTCAGTATAGATGTATGCCGCCAGACGGTCGGTCGGTCGCCAGTTCATCCTCATTACGCCTGGCTCGAGGGCAGAGATTAGTCTTGCGCCTGATGTCATGGTGAAAGAGTACGTATCGGACGCACTCTATGCGCAACTCAACTGACTATCCTATAGGTTAGCAGAGCCGGAACGGGGACAGGCAAGACTGTCTTTTCGATAGTTTAGCAGCCGCTTGGTAGAGTGTGCTTCGCGACTCGACTGAAACCCCAGTACAGGTACTATTCACCGGATTCTCCTCCATCAACCGGTCATTCAGATCCCATGCTTGCCGTTGTGAGGCTTTCAGCTTAAAAACCAGGTAGCCAGATGTTGACGGGTTATTTTGCTCCTTTCGACTATCGAAGGCTAGTAGAGGAACATTGTAAATTCCGATAATCAACCTTTTGAGAGGACTCCTTGTGGTGACAAGCTACAATGTCAAAGGCACTTCAGAAGCTTCTAAGATGTACTGTGCAGTTATGTAGTTAAGCCCACAGTGATCTACTGTCCCCTTGTCAATTTTGACATGGGGAGTGAGTATGGCCAATTTTTACCGCCTCCCGCCCTGTACCTACCTAGATACCATAGGTACCACTTCACCTTCAACTCTGATCACCACAGCACATCGCACCACACTACAGCCCGACTTGAATCAGCTCCCCGGCCTATAATACATTGTTCTTGACCCGCCTGGGATACAATATTACTGTGTACACGAACGCTTGAGTCAACCCAAATTACATCAAATCCCAGCACCTCACAAAACTGTTGTTAAGGTGCTAGAAAACAGCACGCACTTCTTTGTACTCCATTGCTTCTGCCTCAACTCCTCTTTGTTGAGGTTCTTCTACAATTCTTTACATTCAGGGTGGCCCAAGAGAGGATTTCTATTGTCACCCAATTCCTAACCAGCAGGGTTCAAACTGCGCTCTGCACAACCCAGCCTAATCACCCTTGCTATAGCCACAATGGCCGACGCTCTTGCGACGCAACTAAACAACACAAGTTTGGGGTATGGATTTCATATTACCTTGTTAAAGATATAGCGTTACTAAGACTGCTCGTCTAATTAGGGATGCGAATGCAGACCTTAAATGGAAAGACCAACTAAAGCTCCCAGCAAAGGATGGTAGACCACAGACTGAGGTTTGTTTTCTTGAAAGAAACGGATATGCTTCGCTGAATCTGATTTGCTTTGCAGGATGTGACCGCTACCAAGGGCCTAGAGTTTGAAGACTTCTATATCAAGCGAGAGCTCATGATGGGCATTTTCGAGGCTGGATTCGAGAAGCCATCTCCGATCCAAGAGGAAACAATCCCAGTCGCCCTTACCGGGAGGGATATCCTGGCCAGGGCGAAAAACGGCACCGGGAAAACCGCCGCTTTCGTTATCCCTACGCTCGAACGCATCAATCCCAAAAGCACAAAAACTCAGGCGCTTATCCTTGTCCCAACACGAGAGCTTGCGCTTCAAACTTCCCACGTCTGCAAAACCCTTGGCAAACACCTCGGGATCAATGTCATGGTTACCACTGGAGGTACTGGGCTGATGGATGACATCATCAGACTCAACGATGCTGTTCACATCCTCGTGGGAACACCAGGTAGAGTACTGGACCTGGCCAGTAAGGGTGTTGCGGACTTGTCCGAATGTCCTACGTTTGTTATGGATGAGGCGGACAAACTACTTTCTCCCGAATTTACCCCTGTCATTGAGCAGCTTCTCTCGTTCCATCCCAAAGACCGGCAGGTCATGCTCTTCAGTGCCACATTTCCTATGATCGTCAAGTCTTTCAAGGTTAGAGACTCGTCATGCTCAAGAACTCATCCGCATATTCTAACATTCAATACAGGATAGGCACATGCGCAATCCCTACGAGATCAACCTAATGGACGAGCTTACCCTTCGCGGCATCACTCAATACTATGCATTTGTGGAAGAAAAGCAGAAGGTCCACTGCCTAAACACGCTTTTCTCAAAATTACAGATAAACCAGTCCATCATTTTCTGCAATTCAACAAATCGAGTGGAACTGCTGGCAAAGAAAATAACGGAGCTAGGCTATTCATGCTTCTATTCGCATGCCCGGATGCTGCAGCAACATCGTAACCGCGTGTTCCACGATTTTCGAAACGGTGTTTGCCGCAACCTAGTGTGCTCGGATTTGCTAACCCGAGGTATTGACATTCAGGCTGTCAACGTGGTCATCAACTTTGATTTTCCCAAAAACGCCGAAACCTATCTTCACCGTATTGGCCGGTCAGGTCGTTTTGGACATCTGGGTTTAGCGATCAACCTCATCAATTGGGATGATCGTTTCAACTTATATAAGATTGAGCAGGAATTGGGGACCGAGATTCAACCAATCCCGCAGAACATTGACAAGAAGCTCTATGTGTACGACTCGCCGGACACCATTCCCCGGCCTATCTCAAATCCACCTCAACAATTAAAGGGCGCCATTCCTGCGTCCAACCCTAACCTCAATGATCGCCGTCATAATCATCACACAAATGGTGGACATTACCAGTCGAGAGGGCGAGGGTCATACCGCGGCGGCCGTGGACAAGTTCAGCGCCGCAACATGCAGAACGACGGGGCGAGATTTAACGCTTCTCAAGGGCATACCAGTGGGAAGCCTCAACCTCCGACGCAGGTGTCCTAGACTTAAGCTCTGATGCCCCATATTCCCGGTGTTATGCTGGTCTCCTTTGGCTCAGATATCTACTTCTCGTTCGAGATACTGAGCTCAACAACTGCCGTTGACTTTTCCAGTCACCGACTCGTTATTTGCTTTCGCTTGCCTGTGTTTGTTTCGCTTAATGACCCATGTCACAGGGATGAACGTCCCCTCCTTGAGTTTGTCTTGGGATTATTGTTGTAAATATCCTGTTACACTTCCCACATCTTCCCACCTGTCGCCGAACAGTTTCAAGTGCACGGTTTTCGGCATGCTAAGCGTGCCAGGAAATTGTACTTGTTCTTTTCTCCATCACAGCTGTAAATAATCCCCCGCCATTTGGCTCACCCCTTCTCCAAAGCATGATTCGGAGTTTACGCCTTGTCTCTGGTAAGTTGTCATTGCTGTTGATTATCATCTGGTTACCCTTTCTTGACGTGTTATGAACCATTCTCAAATCTGTTTACAGGGAGGTCATGGCACATACACTCTGGAGTATTCCGCGTTCGGGGAGTTTGCTTTTTTCTCGGAGTCACTTTCTTTATCGCACCTCGCATGGGGCGTTATTCCGTTTGGCGCTTTTCTATGAGGATGGGACTGTTCACTGTTGTCCTCATCATCCCTACTCTTTCTACCATTCTTTCATTCTTGCTAACGTCGGTCCTCATGCTCGAGCTGGAGTTAGGAGGTGGGAAGGCTCTTCGATGGTTTTTCAGGTTGATATTGGTTGGGTTGGTGTTGCCTGTCCATCGTTCTTCTTTCGCACCGCCTATTTGAAGTTTTCGCAATTGTTTCTTGATCATGGCAAACGCTCAGCGGAAGCGACCTGGTCGATGCCTATGATCTATGGCGAGGTTCCAGGCATCTGCGAGGCATTTCTATGGAATGAGACAGCGAATACTACACTTTGTACGACACCGGGAAAGGGGGTAAAGAATGACGGGGATAAAAAAATTATAAAAATAAGATGGAGGATCTCGGATGCTATGACGTATCTCTAGTTAGCATCTAGCATATGCCAATTCTTTCCTCCACAACTCCAATGTGTTAAAGTTAAAATAAGAACCTGAGCAGACTCGATCTAACTGCACTTGTGAGCGCTATGTCTGTGATCTGTCCATCCGATCGCGCGGGTGCGAGACTGGCCTATCGGAGCCAAGCTGCTGTCCGAAGCGTTAAGAGTTCTTCGCTCTCCGCATTCCACAACGGCTGCTAGAAGGCCCTGTCCGCGCTTAATCAATTGTCAGACTAGCATCTTAGGTCACAATGACTGCCACGGGGAGCGACCAGCGGCGCAAGGTAGGGTCAAAACTCAGAAGCATGCCCAATGTCGCTAGGGTAACGAATCTACCTGGTTTGGAACTCCACTAACTACTGGTATCCTCCAGCCGAGTAGCCTGAGATCCATCATCGCAGGCTCTACTGCCGGTGCAATCGAGATTGGTAGGGCCCAAGATACCATGCAACGTTGGACGGCAGTACTAACAGGATGTAGCAATCACTTACCCGGCTGAATGTATGCTTCAGCCTCTCTCTTTCTTCGCCCGACTGAGCCCTAAATGATGACCAGTTGCGAAAACGCGATCACAGCTGAACCGCAGACTTCCCGACTCGAAGAAGCTCCCATGGCCACCGTTTGGGAAGCAATGGTACGCTGGCTGCACAACATTGATAATTGGAAACTCTTTGAAGGCTGGAATCCGTGAGTTCCGAGTGCTATGTCTATCCATATGCTAGAGTTGGCGCTGACGCATTGTTGCGCCACTCAGGATTCGTCGCGTTCGACACGTTCAAGTCAATGCTACAGGATGAAAATGGCAAGATATCAGGGCCAGGAACTGTCATAGCTGGCTTTGGGGCGGGGTTCACTGAGTCATTGCTAGCAGTAACGCCCTTTGAAAGCATCAAAACACAATTGTTGGTCATAGCCCATGTCCCAGCCGTCCACCCTACCTTCAATAGTTACCAGCCGATTGGTAGCTAATACCATGATTCTTCCACGTCCCGCAGGATTGATGATCGCAAATCCGCCAACCCCCGTATGCGCGGGTTTATCCACGGTAGCGGGGTTATATTCCGGGAGCGTGGCATTCGCGGCTTTTTTCAGGGATTTGTTCCAACTACGGCTAGACAGGCCGCGAATTCAGCCACGAGGTTTTCGAGCTACACAATGTTGAAGCAGATGGCGGAGGGCTACGTTGCGCCCGGGGAAAAGATAGGGACGGCGAGCACGTTCGCTATTGGGGGCATAGCAGGCCTGATAACTGTGTACGTTGAGTCACATCTGTACTGCTTGGCGGAAAACTTTACTAATAACAAAATGCAGATATGTGACGCAACCGCTTGACACCGTGAAAACTAGGTTGGATTACACAGTTCTGGGTATATTCGAAGCTTGCTGACCACAGATAGAATGCAATCGCTCGAAGCGAGCAGAAACTATAAAAACAGCTTTGCCTGTGCCGCGCGAATCTTCAGGGATGAAGGTTTTCTGACCTTCTGGTCCGGAGCTGTTCCGAGACTCGCAAGATTGATCATGAGCGGCGGCATAGTATTCACCATGTTCGTTGATACCCAGCAGGCCCCGTACTGATCATATGGCTGACTAAATTGCTAATGCTAGGTACGAAAAATCTATGGACATCCTTGATTCTCTAGATCCAGAAGGGAAGTATCTATAGACAGCATCAGTGGCACAATAGGCCTCCCTAGGGTCGTGTGTATAAACAATTGTTTGCGCACTTAGTGCTATATGTAGCTATGGACACGCAGCATGCAATAAGGAAAAGTTCAACCTGACCTAGTCGAAAGTCTCCGAAGCCAAATTACTAGTTCTGCTTTTCATTTGCCTCCAAAACGAGTGCCAGTATCTCACGATCAGTAAGCCAGGAGCGCACGCTGTCCATTACCTTCACCAAGATCTCACCTCCCTCCAGCACATTGTCTAAATTATGGACAGTAAGTCCACTCCGATGATCTGTGCAGCGACTCTGGCCGTAATTATAGGTTCGGACTTTGTCCCCTCGGCCCATTCGTCCTACACCGCCCATCGCTCCTCTTCGTAGCTCGACCAACTCCTGCTCTCGTGCGTCCTGCCGAGCCTCGGCCAGCTTTGCGCGCAGTATCTGCCACGCTTTTTTGCGGTTTGCATGCTGGGACCGCGAATCTTGCATCGAGACCACAGTGCCTGTTGGCACGTGAGTCAGGCGAATGGCTGATTCGGTTTTGTTTACATGTTGACCTCCGGCGCCGCTAGCTCGCATCTTCTCAGTGCGAACTTCTTGCGGATCTATGTAATAGTCGCTGTTTGGGTCGTCAAAGTTGAATGCGCCGTCTCCGCTACTTGTGTCAGGGAAACTGGGCAGGACCATCACACTAACAGCACTGGTATGGGTGCGGCCCTTGGCCTCTGTAGCTGGGACCCTCTGGACTCGGTGTACACCCGACTCCGTTCTTAGGAGATCGTACGCCCCTTCTGCTTCAACCTCCAACACAGCCTCGGTCAAAGCATCTGCTCGATTGTCTGCACGTTCCAGCTTTATTACTGTAGATCGTAACCCTCGGTGGGCACAAAACGCGACATACATCTCCAATAACTCGAAAGAGAAGATACTAGCTTCATCCCCGCCTGCGCCTGGCCGTATCTCTAGTAAGCATGGGAGATCTGCGAACGGGTGTCGAGGAACGAGGGCGCGTTTCAGGTCATCCGATAATGTAGTCAGTGTATTTTCGGTGGTCTGCAATTCTTCAGCGGCAATAGACCTTAGTTCTGCTTCGGCATCCGGATCCTCTAACATGGACTTGAGCTCTGAGATTGACTACAATGTATCAGTCGAGAGTTCTATTGACTCGGGTCGGGCTAAAGATCAACCTCGTTGGCATTGTTCCATTCTGCGAGGGCCTTCGCGACTGGGCCTAGCTCACCAACGCGCTTCGCGATTTTGGGGTCAAACGAAGTCGCCAGTTGGTCAGAAAGATCTGCATGCTCAGCTAAAAGGTTGCGAGCCCGGGTCAGAAGAGCAGGCGATAAGTCTGTATCCGAGGTCAAGAAAATGATATCAGCATATATCCGACATGGTGAGGGTTCGGGGACACGCTGTATACCGGTTTGGTGGCCTCTCAGCTGATAATATAGCCGCTTGTTACGTACAAGTCGAGCGGACCGCACAGAGCATCGTGAACAAAGGCTCGAGAACATAGTGGTTGGACATTATCATCCTTCGGGGAACAATGCCATATTTCCTCCGTATCACGTGCGGTATTTTACGGCGATGTATCGACCGGTAAAGGCCAGACTGGAAGAGACGAAGTATAGCTAAAGTATTATTCCTGGCAAGACGAATGATCTAGTCTACCAACTTCGAACATGTAAGTTGTCTCGGTTTCTCGCGGGCTTTAACAGACATCGCCGTGACACAATCTTTATTCTTTCTTGAATTACCCCATCTTGCCCACTCATTCCTCCTCTTGCGATTCTTTCTTCGTTCTATACTCTTCGGCGTCTTACGCTCAAAAGATGCTTTTGCCATTCTGCGCGATAACAGCTTTCCTCGCGTGTGTGCCAGGTGGCTTTGGTCTAGAGTCGTCGACGATATCTCCCGATACCCCGGTGTCATCTTTAATTGCCTCCGCCAAAACACATCTTTCCAGTGGTTCCCCTCGGGACGCTTTACTCTTCCTTGATGCAGCCATCTCGCGGGACCCCACAAACTACCTAACTGTCTTCCAACGCGGCGCGGCCTACCTATCATTGGGACGCCGATCGCAAGCCCAAGATGATTTCGACCGTGTTCTTTTGTTGAAGCCGGATTTTGAGAGCGCTCTGCTTCAGAGGGCTCGTCTCAGATCTATTACGGCTGACTGGTCAGGCGCATTGAATGACCTTGAGAGGGCTGGAAAGAAGAACTCGCACGAGTATAAAGAATTCGAGACCGCGCGAGAGGCTGCCACTCGGGCATTTGATGCAGAGAAACAGGGCGCATGGGATACCTGTGTGAATGAAGCCACCATCGCTATCACAAAAGCCAGTGCGCATCTTAACCTGCGGCAGAGTCGAGCACATTGCCGTTTTGAGAGAGGCGAGCTGGAAGAAGGGATTAGCGATCTTGCACATACTTTGCAAATCTCACCTGGCTTAATTGACCCTCACCTACAGATATCATCTATGCTCTTCTACACTCTCGGCGACATTGAAAGAGGACTTTCGCAGATTCGCAAATGCTTACATTCAGACCCGGATTCGAAACCGTGCAACAAACTTTACCGGCGGGAAAAACAACTGGATAAACGTCTTCGGAAATTGCAGGATGCCGTAGCGGCACGGAAGTTCAATAATGCTTTGAATCTTCTGGTGGGTGCTGATGGTGAACCTGGTCTCATCGAGGATGTTCGTGTGGATGTAGGACAAGCCAGGGAAGCACGCCACATTTTTTCTGATTCTCAGGGTGTCCTTTACGCATCCTTGATTGAGAAAACCTGCGGTGCGTATAATGAGGTACGTGAACCATGAATACGGGAGCAGCATTTCAGACAGCCAGGCCTTGCTAAAGGTATCATAGGTACATATGCTCAAACGCGCCTCTATTTTCTGCTCGGAAGCACTTGAGCTGGTTTCGCATTCCTTGCCGGCTCTCTTGTTCAATGCCCAGGTTGCCCTAGACGATGATAGATTTGAGGACGCTATTGGCGCCCTTAACACTGCCAAGGAGCATCATCCTGAATCGAATGAGGTCAAGACTCTCCTGCAGAAGACTATGGTTTTACAGAGGCGTTCGAAGCAGAAGGACTATTATAAAGTTCTCGGCGTCAGCAGAGACGCCGACGAGAGGGCTATTAAGCGAGCCTACCGGCAGCTTGTGAAACAACATCACCCCGACAAGGCTATGTCTCAAGGTGTCACAAAAGATGAGGCTGAGAAGAGAATGGCTGGTATCAATGAAGCCTACGAAGTCCTTTCTGATCCTGAAGTAAGGGCACAATATGACAACGGCATTGATCCCAACGACCCGGAGTCACAGAGGCAGAATTTCCACGGAAGTCCGTTTGGTGGAGGTCAACAGTTCTTCTTCCAGCAGGGCGGCCCGCATTTTAAGTTCTCCTCTGGCCAGTTCAATTTCCCGGGTGGCTTTTCATTTTAGCATCATCGGTTTGATTACCGGGGTAAAAACGTGTTTTAATCAAATTTCTCTTGACCTCGTCGGACCTTTGTTGCTTTTTGGGGTTCTAGAGAATGATTTCAGTAACGTGTTTGACTAAGGTGACTAACTACCTCGTAACAGTAACAGGGTTGGCTTCCAGTCTAGTGTATATCGTTTTATCGACGTTGCTGCTAGTAGGGCATTTAATTCTCGCGGCCATGTAGCACAAACCAGGCCTGACTATTTTGGTGGATCTGTGAGAGGCACATAGCTAACTTGAAACACTTTCTCCTTATGGATGGAACCATCTTCCTTTTTGTCCACTACCCATATGTACTGCCCACCGCCAAATACTGTGCGAGCGAGAGTGCCTTGAGCATCCTCGGCATTGACGGGTATAAACATACGTCCGGGCGACCTCAGCTGCTCGACGAGCAGTGGATGAAGCTCTTGTGCGGCTGCGCCAACGTGGATCGCATCGTAGGGTGCCCCCTCTGGCCATCCGAGGCGGCCATCCGCCTTGATGAACTTCACACTTTCGGTTTCTAGTAGCTTTTTCCCTTGCTTGGACTTCATCATGTTGTCGTGGGCCAGCGTAACCAGTTCTTGTATGTGGTCGACTCCGATGACTTGTCCCTTCGGGCGGTCGCTCGATGACGTATCGACGGCAAGACAGGCAAGCACATGGGTCAGGTATCCAGAGCCGGATCCAATATCTAAGACACGCGAGCCGGGTTTAAGATGGTTAATCAAGTATTCACATGCATGACCATGCATGTGGGGGGCGGATATTGTCGCTCCGTAGCCGATGGGCTGGGGCGAGTCTGAGTATGGTCTGGAGGGCGCATAGTGGCCGCGATCAACCTGATTCTTTCAATTAGAGACGCATGACAGGGAGGCCGAGGCACTGTAGACTGGGCTGTGCTGGGATGGGCAGAGGGAGCTATGCTCACGGCCATCATCGCCTGTTTGACTCTCTCGTCTTTGATCAGTCCTTCTTTGAATAGGTTCTCGATCAACTCATTGTTGGTGGATCCGGAGCAGTACCATGCCATTGTGTTGATGCCTTTAGCAGTTTGTTTTGCTGTCAGTAGGGTCAACCTGAATATCTGTACCATGCAAACTATTTGTCCTCTGGTTTGAGACTTGTGATAATCCAGTATTCCCAAATCTTAACAGTGTACTTCTAGCTGACAGTGGGCACATCATGACGCCATTGACAGGTCAGGTCAGTCACGTGGTCTGTGGTTGCTTGTGTGAAGACAACAGCTTGGTGGGATAGACTTGGTATATATTCATGGAGCAGTGGTGGTTAATGCTGTCTGTTCAAGTACATATGATTCTTTGAATCACATTCTTACTCCATGTTTCGTAGCCCTCTTGTCTGTTGGTTCTATAAAGAGCATGCTAAACTACCCCAGAGGATACATGTGGGGAAATCGCTAGTGCTACCGTAATAATATATATTTTTTCTGGGGTTGCGTGCTAGCATTGGACATTGGAAATTTAACTCATAATTCCCACACCTGAGCCAAAGGGATAACGATAACCAAAGGTCTACTACTAAATAACAATATATATGCATTCAGGGCCTGCAATAATAACTACCAGAGATAGTTGCCTGCATCACACCAAACAATCGCAGGCATTGGGCAGTTCCCCGCCCTAGGCCAAATTTCAACTTGAATAATTTTCTTAAAGAAAGCCCATCAAAACCAGCGACTGGACACTGAAATTACAGACTCGACCGTCCCTCTCCTACCACGCCCAAGTAGCCGCTGGCCAGCATTTATCATACACGCACACACCCATTGTACTTAATAATAATAATAAAACACTCCCATCCAAGCGACCAGCAGAATACAGACACGCCAACCACAACCAAGAATGGCCGGAATGAAAGTGGACGAAGACACCAGCAAAGAAGTCAATTGCCTCATCTTCGACTATATCATCTGCTTGGCCATCCATACAGCTATAAGCGTGGCTGAAGGCAGCACGGGCGAATGGGACATGAGCTGGCTGGAAGACACAGTAACGGGTAAGTCACGAAAATTAAGTGGTTCTGGTAGCTAAAGCCTGAAAACATAGCATTACGATTGGTTCTTCCACCCACGGAGGAATTACCTGTGGCTCTTCAAATAAAGGCCCAGGTGTTCGAAATCGCCCGGATGTTCAGCAAGACATCCCAACCAGTGCAAACCATGCTCGCGGAGATGGCAAGCACGTTCGTGTCAACATGCAAATCCGCAGGGGAGAAGGCGCTAGAGCTGCATGCGACACAGGCTGCTAGTCAAATTCGCAATAACCAGAAGTCCGCAACTGTTATTTATACCCTAGGCCAGATCATGCAATTATTGGCACCGCCCGTACTTCTACAGCTTGAAAGGGGAAATCTCGAGGGCATGAGCCGCGCCGAAACACAGCGGCTGAAACAAAGAATAGGAATGGAATGAGAACAGTTACATCGATGACTGATCCACGCCTGGAGATAAGAAGCAATACACTATCATATCTCGGAACCCATGGTGCGTGGACAGCTCAACAAGTGCAAAGCCACACAGCGCACGACTCGACTTGAAGGGCCTACACTTCAAAACAAATGTTGATAAATATCGGACATGTGGAATTGAATAATTTACAGTACAGATCGAAAGGAAAGGGGTGGCGGACTGCCTAACCCAAGAGCATACGGCGGGGGTCCTCGATATACTCCTTGACCTACCGAGATTGTTAGTGTTATGCCTCCCATGCAGAAGATTAGGGAAAACAAGAGCATCGAGATACCTTGACCAGGAAAGTGACAGCCTCCCTGCCATCCAAAAGTCGATGATCGTAGGTGAGAGCAAGATACATCATCTGTCACGAAGGTCAGAAACACGGTCCGAAAACTTTGGGACGCTTTTTACTTACTGGGCGGATCTCAACCTTCCCGTTGACTGCCACAGGCTTGTCCTTAATGGCATGGAGCCCAAGGACAGCTAAAGCGCTTAGTTTTGAAGGTACCGGCAACCGTATGAAGCCCACTCACCAGTCTGGGGGAGGTTAATGATAGGGGTGCCCATGAGAGAACCGAAGACGCCGCCCTACAAATTCAATTAGCGGCGAACCCACTCAAACTCGAATAAAGTTCTCACATTGCTGATGGTGAAGGTGCCTCCGGCCATATCTTCGATTGTCAACTTATTGTCACGCGCCTAGTGGTTGTTAGATATAAGAGCATGAGAAGGGCTAGCTGAGCGACGCCTGACCTTCTTTCCGAGATCTGCAATAGATTTCTCGACACCGACTAAATCCATAGTCTCCGCGTTACGGACCACTGGTGTCACGAGTCCCTTCTCAGTCGCAACAGCGACACTAATATCAACGTAGTCACGATAGACAATAGTATCGCCGCCATTGGGGCCCTCGATAGAGGCATTAACGGCGGGAACATCCTTCATGGCCAGAACGCAAGCGCGGGAAAAGGCGCTCATAAACCCCAGCTTGACACCCGTCCTTTTCAAAACCTCATCCTTGTACAGCTTCCGGAACTCCATCAGAGAAGACATGTCGACTTCATTGAAGGTAGTGAGGGAAGCAGCAGTGTTTTGAGACTGCTTCAGACGCTCCGCAATCCTTAGTCTCATGCGGTTCATTTTGACCTTTATGTGGGTGTCCATTAGCATTGGCCACCTGGCCGAGTGCTACTTGAGGCGGAAAGACCACTCACTCTTCTCTCCTCGCGATTTCCTAGGGCGGGCTTCGCCTCACCCGATTCTTGAGGCTTTGATGCCGCTTGCTGTGTCGGCTTAGAAGTTTCCGCCTGCGAAGAAGGGGCTTTCGATGGCGAGGATGCCTTTTCAGGGGCGGGAGAAGATGGTGCTGGTTCCGGTGCCTTGGGTTTGTCGGACGCGGGGCTGGTAGCGGCAGGTTCTTTGGGCTTCTCGTTCGCTTCCTCTGACTTCTTTTCCGGGGCACCACCGGCTTCCAACTTCACGAGATCTTGTCCGACTGTGACGGTGTCCTCCTCATTCACGAGCAGCTCCTTAATGACGCCGGATTCCGGCGCATTGACCGATACATCAATCTAAAGTGTGTAAACGATCTGCAAATATTGCGATGTGCAATGGGGCCGTATAGCTACCTTATCGGTCTCAATCGTCGCAATTTCCTCATCCCGTTCGACGTAGTCTCCGACCTCTTGCCCGACAAGTTAGCGGAAGTCTCGGCCAGATAAAGGAACCACATACGTTTTGAAAATTGCTTCAATGTTCCCTCTGTGATAGATTCCGCCATCTGGGGAACCTTGACGACAGTGTCCGCTTAGTAGGAAGTCAGCTAGTGCTAAGCGGCAAGGGAAGAGCCACTGACCATAGGTCCGAACCTGATGGCTTGCGATTGGGATGACATTCACTCTCGAGAACGCGCCACTGGAAGTAATAAGCTATGGGCGGGATGCAGGCACAATCTCTATCTTTCATACCGCAGACTTGTAGTGGACTGCATGCCGTGAATCGAGCCGGTAGCGGCTCTGGCGCCTTCGGAGGCCTTAAATGATGTAAAAGTCCTGCAGCATATCGACCGCGCAACGCGAGGAACAGACCTCAAACGCTGGGCGGGAAATTGACGAAGGGCTAACCGGGAAGCCATGATTGACTGCGAGTGCAATATTAGAATGCGGTATTGCGGGCGTCGAAGAGAGATTCGGGTGAAGGGATACAGTGGAGAGTGGCAGAAGTGAGGTATACCCTCAGCAATTCAAGGCAAGCTAGTCCTGTCCGGGCCGAGAAATACCGGAAATTCCCTCAGGGAGTCTGCCTGCGGCAAGTGACGGATTATAATTACTACGGAGTTCCAGCGCATCACAGGCACCAACTTGGCATATTAATATCCCCGTCGGGTTCCAGTCCGCAGAAGGCCATATCAAGCCAGGGCGGGCATATCGACTTGGAGCGACTTAGACGCTGTTTGACTCTTAGATATTTCCGATCTGCTCGGTTACCATGTCCACCAATGCTGTCACGTAAGTCACCATCTCTTGAATAAGTTCACCGCGCTCTAACCATTGACTGGATAGGTCACTCTACCGCCGGTCGCTGAAGCTCGCGCTGGACTGGGCTGTCCACAGACACATTTGGAGAGGACAGGCGGTTTATATACGATCGCTCTTTGAGGCAAACAAAGAAATTCGCGACCCTCGGCAACAGAAAGTATCCGATACCTTCGCAGTCGCTGAGCGACCCTTCATAAGCTCCCCGCTCACCAGCACACAGGTCATCCTCCAAGAGACCGAGAAGCTACTCGAAACATGGAAACACCCTGACCCCTACCGTGCACCTACGGCCCCCGGTGGTAAGTCTGGATTGGATCCTGATTTGCCAGTTATCTAAGCCCCGAAACAGGAAGCAAATACGAGAGGAACCTACCTGCTCGTCAACTACCTTGTGAGTCTGATCTTATTATACACCCAGCACTTCAACCGGTGGGAGTCTGACTTTCTGCTAGACGCTGGAGATGGTGGACATCATTAAAGCAGCGGGGTTTTGTACAAAAGCGAGAGGTATCGTTGAATGTATTGTAGACAGCATGAAATCTGTAGTCCATGCAAAGGAAGTCGATGAGTGCTTGGCATAAGTATAATTCAACCTCGATTTCTGCTACTCCGCGTGTTGTGACGTGTATCAAATCGCGGTAAAGTGAGGACAGCGGAATGACCTTACGGAGGTAAGACGAGAATCATTTTGAGGTCATTTGAACTTGTCGGTATCATTCCATGTCCGTGGACATAATTTACAACAATGAAAAACAAAACGCATCGAAATTAAAAAAAGAGCCATAAACGTGCCCAGTCCAGAACCCCGTTATCATATCAGTAAGTGAACCAAACCACGCCGAATGACAAACCCCACGCAAATAAGAAAAAAGCAAAAAACCCTCACAGCTCCTGGCTGCCCTTTCCGGCCTTGGGGGTCTTCTTGGGGAGGAGGTCTACAGCGCGTTAGAACACAACTCATATATCAGGGCAGTGGAAATACGCACTCTGGTGAATGTTGGGAAGAACACCACCCTGGGCAATGGTGACGTGACCCAGGAGCTTGTTCAACTCTTCATCGTTTCGGATGGCGAGCTGGAGGTGGCGGGGGATGATACGGGTCTTCTTGTTGTCGCGAGCAGCGTTTCCAGCAAGCTCGAGGATTTCGGCAGCGAGATACTCAAGGACAGCGGCCAGGTAGACAGGGGCACCTAACAAATATTATTCAGCGATGTTGGAAGACGGACGCCTGGAGATAGAGGGCTTACCAGCACCAACACGCTGAGCGTAGTTTCCCTTGCGGAGAAGACGGTGGACACGACCGACGGGGAAAGCCAAACCGGCCTTGGAAGAACGACTATCTCTTGTCAGTAAAGAATTCGCAGACCGTTCAGAAGTCAGTTTCCACGTACGATTGAGCGTTCTTGCTGCCGCTAGCCTTGCCACCAGATTTGCCGCCAGTCATTTTGAAAGATTTGAAGTCGAGTTATCAAAAAAAAAAAACGTAGTTTTAAAATGCGGACGGTGACGCGTAAGGTGGGTGTAACAAGGTATCGGCGAGAAAGGATAGATAGAAATGGGAAAGGGACGACCACTATCGCGAAAGACTAGAGGGCATATATAGCGACACCATCAAAGTCACGCCTGGAAGTCCAGACGCGTTTCGGATCACCCTCTCGCTTAGCGGGGTCAACCAATCAATGGGCGGATCAGCGTCAATTGTACCCGTAGGCTGGTGTCGTCATGCTGCGATACTGGATTCAGGAAAGCGCATAAGCTAATCGCGGACCATCACGGTATTGTAACCTTGGCGGGCAGCTACCGCCAATCCCGGCGCGGTCCGCGCATCATTGGTTTCTTAATCATACAGATCATACGATTTCAGTACCGTATCGAAAAGCTGGCTCCTTTGTGGTTTCTGGATCAACACGGTGTTTGGAACCGAGTATAAGTAGCGCGCCTCCCCTCGTCACCGCGTATCCTTAACTTTCATCCTCCTACTCATTCCACCCCGCCACTTTCACGCGTCAACCAGTGTGCTCTCGCATCTCCATCCATATTCAGTCACTCATCTTTTACCGAAACCAACTTTCGATTATCAACATCTTTGAAAATGCCTCCCAAAGCTGCCGAGAAGAAGCCTAGCACTGGCGGCAAGGCCCCTGCTGGCAAGGCCCCCGCTGAGAAGAAGGAGGCTGGAAAGAAGACTGCCGCTGCTGCCTCTGGCGAGAAGAAGAAGCGCGGAAAGACCAGGAAGGAAACCTACTCTTCCTACATCTACAAGGGTGGGTTTCTCTCTGCGTGGGTAGGCGTGATCCAGGCTAACTAGCAGCAGTTCTCAAGCAAGTGCACCCGGACACTGGTATCTCCACTCGTGCCATGTCTATTCTGAACTCCTTCGTCAACGGTATGTGTCGCGGTTCGCTCACTCTGCACAAATTCCAGACTAATTTGGGCATAGACATCTTCGAGCGCGTCGCGACAGAGGCCTCCAAGCTCGCCGCCTACAACAAGAAGTCCACCATCTCATCTCGGGAGATCCAGACCTCGTGAGTTTTCGCTCGTTTCCCGGCTGTTGTCTGTTTGTATCTACTTTTCTAACTCTATCAGTGTGAGGTTGATCCTGCCCGGTGAACTCGCCAAGCACGCCGTGTCTGAGGGCACTAAGGCCGTTACGAAGTACTCTTCCTCTGCCAAATAAGCTTTTGTCGGCATCTTTCTTCTTTTTTTTTAATTGCACGGATATGTTTTTGTTTCGTTACTCGTCATCTTGAACGGTTTTGAGGCGGCGGGTTAAAGGGTGTTCGCGGGATTTTTAACGTGTCATGGGATGGTCTTTTTTCCTATTTGTTCTATTTCCCCTCGGGTCAAATGTTGTCTTTCAACGCCTTCACTTTATGGAAACATGGATGTGGTGTAACATAACTCGAGTTCTGGAACCGGTTGTATATTTACCCTTCCTCGAATTTGAATCCAATGCTTTCATGAATATCTTATTTTCGTTTATTAACTTGATGATGCCGTTGCGATTCAGTGTACCTAGAGGTGCTGCGTACATGGTTCACTGTGTGATACGCAAGCGGGAGCACCCCATTATGCTGAATCGTCATCGTCAAATGTCTCGACTTCGTCTACTGCTTCCATTCGGCCTTGCCAGGATGTGGTGTCGTTGTTCATGATTGTGATGATTGGTTTCCCTTCCATGGATGTAACTCGATCCTGCCAATCCTTCCAGTCATCTTCGTCCTTGATAAGAAACCCGATCAGCATGCTTGGGTCCATGTCTTGGATGTTGAGTCTCCTGAGTCGACGAGTGTGGTATGTATCAACCTCTTCTTCGGTGTACGAGCTTGGTTCGCTATGCTTGGAAGCAGGGCGCGTGTGATGTGGGTCGAGGTAGAAAAAGTGTGACCCCTGGACCGCTACAAAATAGTGCGAGGCCGAAGGGCGCCCTCTGTTTGACATGTTTTAGCAATTTTTCTACACATTTTGGGTTGCTCCGATTGTGCGTGACATACCCTGCAATTCCGACAGATTGTGGAAGCTGGAGTACAGCTTTCAATCCATCCCAATATACTTCAGTTACGCGGTCGATACCCAGTCTGAGGCCCAATAAGATGAGTGTGGGTCGGATGGTACCTTGTTCATCCCTAGCGACGCCCATGAACTTTTCCTGATAGATGTCCGAGTTGTCGTCCGCAATGTATACTTGAAGCTTTGACTGGTTGTATCTCGCTGCAAGGCCTCTAATCTCTTACGTGAGTCACTGTCCCACGCCTACTTTTCGACGCGGGTCCTTACTGTATGCATCTAGCTGTAGCGCTTGGCCCAAACCATTCCCCGGGACGCTTTCCGCATGATTCCGCCCCGTACTTGACAAAGTTGTGTATCGAAAATGGTGCGTCTGGTGAGTCGGCGAACAGTGCGAGTAGTTGCACTTCGTCCTTTGACCCGTCGCTTCGTCGCCATCCTGTACAATATTAGCCGTCATGGTGCTAAATTTCCTATGGCTACATTGCTGTAGAGCTCGTACCACGGCCCAGTGATAGAACGAGCATGGCGTTGGCCAGGAGGCTTTGGCCTGATCTTATCATACAGCCCCATCCAGTGTCACTTGTGAAGCCCTGGGGTTCAATGAGCTGACTTCTCAGCCGCACGCTTAGTGTCAAGGATGAGGTCCCGTCTCGACCGGCGTCTTTGGGTATTGGGGCGAAATTTGACCTGTATGTCATCCAGATCCTTGATTCGAAGTCTAGTAGGAAAGACTCTGGCCAGTCGGGTGTGCTTGGTTTTGTTGCGCTAGGTTGCAGTCCGTCGTCATTGTGGTCTTTTCTGCGTTAGTTCAGAATATCCGTGTTCGTTTCCTGCATCTGGGCTTCTTGAAGCTTACTGTATTTGTCTGTCAATCCCAGTCCGAGTTGAGGGTGGTACCGTGTTCCCATGCACCATATCGGCAGTCCTGGCTCCTCGTCATTCTTGGGCTCGGGGTCCCAGATGTACTGGATTATCCGTTTCCTGCATCGTTCTATGTCCGTTGTATTCATGCTTTGGGTGACTGTTGATATGCCGGTCGCGGGCGTTGTTTGGTTAATTATTGTGGTCTTGCACTACCACTCTCTGAGTGTATATGTTTGAGTAATGACGCTCCCACCTGTCCTTTGAAGTCTACCGTTGCGTTGTTCGGTGTTCTTGGTAGAAAGTTAATCCTAGGTCTATCTTGCCGGGAGCTCTCGAATGTGTGATCTGGTGGATTTCTGGGCGACCTGTGGGTATTGTGGTTGGCTGTTGTGGTCTGGTATTCTCACTTGGGGTAAGCCCGGGTAGGTGTATGGATTTTAATGTCACGAGGTCAGGAGGCATCTCTATGGTGTGCTCGCCGCCTATATGGGTTTCTTATATGTTCTGTATGTGTTATTGTAAGATGTCCTATTCTGGATTTAATGCTAATGCTGCTGCTATAAGTAAATATACCGTGATTATGGTGGTTGGGGTTAACTAAACATATGTTTGTGATATATATATATATTAGCAAGTACTGTTGGAGCGGAGGTAAAGATACATAGTATGCTATATACTATCAATAAACATAATTATAACTGGTAAGTTATATATATAAAAGGTATATTTAGAAATTTTTATAATAATATTTTTAAGACTAAGCTTGTAATAGCAGACATCCTCTACGCGTAACACATGAACTAATAAATTATAAATATCACCATTTATAATACCTTAAATAGCTAACCAGGTACAAAACAAAGTACTATAGAGAGCTAAATAAAAGGGAATTAATATTGAATGTAATGCTTATAAAATATAAAAAACCAAATTTTAGCTACCTATTATTTATTGGGGAGTTGGCCTTATATATATATATATAAAGGATAATGTTATCCTAATATAGTATTATAATATAGCGGCAATACCTTATTTTATTAATAACTTATTTTAGGAGTATTATAGGCAAATTAAGAAAAAATGTATAGGGGAGGAACTAAATATATTTTTTTTATTAAGGTCTTGATAAGTAGTAGCATGTTTAATAAATTAATTCTTTTTTAAAAATATACCTAATAATTACTAAAGACTCCATGTCACGCCCATGGATGCCAAGCCCCCGATAAAATAAAAAAACTAATATAATAAGAGTCACGGTAATATCAACCCGCCATGTATTAATAATATTATTACTAGTTTAATATTATATTTAAGGCTAACGCCCTAGTAAAGAATAGTTAGCTAAAAGTTAATTTTTATATATTTTAAGCCTTAAAATTCAATATTATTTTTTTTATTAAATAGCTTCTTTAATACTTTATTTTATACCTGGTTAGCTTACTTAAAGTTTTTATAATTTTAATTTTTTAACTTATTAACTACCTATAAAATATATACTATGCTGCTAATATACTTATACCTTATTTTTAAATAAAATTACCTTAATAATTTTAGAACAAAACCCTTTAATACTTAATATTTTTTTATTATTAAAACTATTAAAAGTATTATTATAAAAAATTATTAGAATACTTATAAAACGCTAGTAACCTAATAACTATAAAATATAAAAAGGTATATTAAATATTTTAAATTAAAGCGTGTTAAATTAGGCTATTAAAATTTTTTACGCCTATATAATTAGTATAAAATTACAAAAAAAATTAAATACCTTTAATTTATAATATTACTAATTAACACGCTAAAAAGGCTACTTGGTTATTTAAAATTATGCTTAAAATTAAAATCTTATTTAATATTTTTTATATTCTTTATTTTTTAGGCTATAAAATTTACTACTTAAAAGCCTATTAATATAATACTACTTATTTCTTCCCCCTTTAAATTTTTTTTAAATTTAAACCTAATTACTTTTTTTTAATTTATATATTAAAATACACTTTTATAACCCTACCTAGTTTTAATATTATATAACAAGCACCTTGTTAAATAAAAGTAGGATTATTTTTAATTATTTTTTTTTAATATATTTAATATATTATTTTTACTAGCTAAGGCTATATTAAAAGTACTATAATAATTTATAAAATAAGTTATAAAAGTTATTTTTTACGTGGTTAAAGCTTTTAATATTATAATATATCTAAAAGTTTTTGTATTAAAGCTTTTTTTAATAAATGTAAAAATACCAGGGTTTTTTCCTATAAGTTTAAAAATATTATTAATTTTTAACTTTTTAGTTAAGTAAAAAAAATATATTTATACCTAAAAATAATAGGGTAAAAATATCTAAAAATTTAATAACCCCAATAATAACTTATACCCTATTTTATATTATATAAAAATACAAGCTACCTTGTTTCTTCTTTAAAAATAGTAAAAATAACATATTTAAAATAATTAATATTAATAATTTTTTTTACTATACCAAGGGCCTAGGATATTATAATAATTTAAAAAGGTAAAAAAAACTAAATTTTAAAAACCCTTGACTATTAATAGTGGACATGGTTACTTAAATTCTAATTAATTAATAATAAATAAATACTTATATAAAAATAATTAAAAAAATTACTAGAAACTTTTAAAAGCTTATAAATTTAAAAAAAATAATAACTAATACTAGTGCTAATACCGGAGTAAATAAAAATAAAAATATAAATTATTTTAATAATATATAATAAAATAATTAGCTAGCTAGTAAATACCCTAAAAAATATTTTAAGGGACGGCCTTATAAATATTTTAAATAATAAAAAAAGGCTATATAAAAATTAAAATAGTACAGCCAGAGGAAACATAGATAATAATTTAAATAATAATAATAATAATAACCTTAATAAATTTAAATCTTAAAATAAATATTAGCAACGCAGGAATATTTAATAAAAAAAATAAATAAAATTATTTTACTAATAGTAATAATAGTGGTGGTTCTTAGTAAACTAATAAAATTAAATATTTTAATTTTAATATTTTAAAAAATACTTTAATAAAATACTTTAATAAAAAGGTTTATTACAAGAACATTAATATTTTTATAAATTAGCTTAAAAATATTATTAATTATAAAGGGAAACTAATAATAAAAATAAATATTTAGGTTATGCTTTAAAAATTAGCCCTGAATTAATTTACTTTTAAACTAATAATTTTTTTAAAAAAATACTTTAAAAAAACTAAATTTAAAAAATAGGTAGTTTACTTGTCATACTGCCACGTCTTTTTGCTTGTCTCTTGCTTGGTTCTTCCTTAGTTATAGCTTAGTTATTATATATCTACATTGCTTTTAAGATAGCACTTAAGAAAATTAACTTTTTACTATTTTATTATATTACCCCTTTAGGTTTAATAAGTAGTAGCATGTTTTTTATAATTTAAAAGCCTTTTAAAAAATATTTACTTAATAACTAGAAAATTCCAGGAGTTAAAATAAATAATAATAGTAAATATTAATAATTACTATTTTTTTATACCCTGCTTTATAAAACGCCTTTTAGCAATCTTAACTTTACTATTAATAAAAAAAGTTTTTTTTTAAACTAATATTATATAACTCCTAGATATTTAAGCTAGTATATTAAATAGCTTGCTTTTATTAATTTTTAAATTTTAACTTTATATATAAGCTTAATATAAAAACCGCACGCCTAGCTATTTTTTTAAAAGTTAAAAAAAACCTTTGCTATTTACACGCCTATTTTAATATTTAGTTAATTAAAATATTAATTAAAGTATACTTAGTAAAATTATTAAAAAATTTCTGCGGTTAGCTACATGTTTTAGGATTATAAAAAATTCTAAATATTTTTTAATTATATTATTATTAATTAACACGCTAGAAAGATTACTAGGCTATTTAAAATTATACTTAAGATTATAGTTAATATTTTTTATATTTTTTATATTTTTTATATTTTTTATATTTATTATAAAATTTGCTACGCAGGAGTCTACCAACATGGTATTACTTATTTTTTTTATTTTTAAAAAAAATATAAAGCTATTTACTTTTTTTTTTAAATTAAATATTAAAATATATTTTTACATGTTTACCTAGCCCTAATACTATATAACAAGCACCTTATTAAATAAAAATAGGAATATTATTAAAAATATTTTTAATTAATTATTTTTTTAATACCTTATCTTCCCTAGCTAAAGCTATATTAGGAGTATTATAATAATTAATAAAATAAGTTATAAAAGTAATTTTTTATATAGTTAAAGCTTTTAACACCGTAGTACAGCTAAAAGTTTTTATATAATTATTTTTAATAAATATAAAAATACCGGGGTTTTTTCCTGCAAGCCTAGAAATATTATTAATTTTTAATTTATTAATAAAAAAAATAACTTGCACTATATTCTATATTATATAAAAATATAAGCTACCTTATTTTTTTTAAAAAATAATAAGATATTTAAAATAACTAATATTAAAAAATCTTTTTATTATAATAAGAGCCCAGGGTGGAATAATTTAAGAAAATAAAAAAAACTAAATTTAAAAAGCTAGCTATTAATAACAAATATAATAGCTTAAATCCTACTTAATTAATAGTAAATAAATAATTATATAAGGGTAGTAAAAAATATTATAGAAAACTTCTAAGAGCTTATAAATTAAAAAAAAGTAATAATTAATACTAGTGCTAATACTAGTGCTAATATTAAAGTAAATAAAAATATAAAGGTAAATTACTTTAATAATATATAATAAAAACGTTTTAAGGCCCGGCTTTATAAATATCCTAAATATAAAAAAAAAAATTAAAACGGTGTTAGGGGGAACCCCAATAATAATCTAGATAATAATAATAATAATAATAATAATAATAATAATAATAATAATAATAATAATAATAATAATTTTAACAGGTTTAAACCTTAAAACAAATATTAATAACGCAGGAATATTTAATAAAAAAATAAATAAAATTACCCTGCTATTAGTAATAGTAGTAGTTAATAAATTAATAAAATAAAATATTTTAACCATAATATTTTAAAAAACATTTTTATTAAGCACTTTAGTAAAAAGGTTTATTATAAAAATATTAATATTTTTGTAAATTAGCTTAGG